CTTTGGCCAATGATCTCTTTCATTCTTGCCAGCATGCTCACGGCTGACTGATCTCCTAACTCGATGTTACGAAATAACTCATCCAGACGTTGTCGATCTGTGAGAACGTTTCTCTTTAGGAGGGATGCTTTTAGCAACTCGTACGAGTTACTTACCGACATCTGCAGAGTTACGCACCTGCTGAATTCCCGCGGTAGGGCGTGAATAACTGCAAGGAACTGTGAACGTTGATCAGTTATGCCATGTTCACAAAAATCAGACTCAGCAATCTGAAACCACGTTTCAGCATTATCTGGCCAATATGGTACTAGCTGGATTGTTTTGGCGGTTGAGCGAATCCGAATAACTTTGGGGCTAGGATCACTCATGACGAAACGTATGCCGATAACAATATAGTACAAGAATAAACACAAAAAGGAACGAACTCACCGGGATTATCTGCGTGTGAATTGAAGATGTAGTTCGTGGTTGGGCTCACCAGTTTAGGGGTGGACGGTATCGACGTTGGCGAGTTGTACGGATTATACTAACGCAAGATCTTATACCAACAACCACTATAGTGTTCGTTCTTCGAGTACCAAATGGTAAAGCAAAAGACCAGATTTTGTCGTCCAAATACGATATATATTTTGGGACCAAATCGCGGGTAGGAATGAATGCTTAGCTAGCTAGTAATCGTGCACGCACGTGACACGACGAAGCACCAAATGGCGGGGATGCTTGACCGTAAGCCTTCAGCTAAACAAGTCGACTTAAACAGTGATGGTCAGCATCCAATGTTGAGTGATGATTGCTGTGGTTAATAATTTTGGGGAATTATTTACCGCTACAAAGAAATGATATATAGGTAGCGCCTCCATATTTAATTCAGTACACGCGCTGTTCACAGTTCCGAGACAAACCATTATGTTTTTCAGTTACACTTAGGAAATTATTGAAGAATAATCAACGGGTACTAACTTTAATACAAAAATATCATAGGGGAATTGAAACAAACAATCCTGCATTCTGTTTACGTATCAAAATACGGTTTGTTTTAGTATTCATTCTTCGAGCGCATTTGGTATTGTGACGGTGTGAATGTGTAGTAATTGATAATAATCAGAACTGTGTATTGAGTGACGGATATTACGTATAGTAGAATTTTGATTTTTACATGCGACACATCAGAAATGATTTACATGCACGTTCTATTCCCGGATTACCTATTCTAGTAATACCAGCATGTATTAATTGGAATTCATGCATCTGAAACTGATTCTCATTGTAACTACAACCCTTAATATTGGTGTACAAACGTTGTCTACCAGTCTGGAAAAGTTAAGATTTCAACTATGCCAAATATAAATGGAGAAACTTTCGTCAAACGACAGCCTCCAAGTGATCTTTCCATGGATGAAGAGTTATTCTTCTTACCCACCACCTTAGAAGTTTTCCGCGACTACGAGTAAGTTAACGCCTGTCCTACATTCAGAGATTTTTGCTTTGATACTAATACCTTACGAGCATTAACGTTGTAAAGTCGTATGGGATAATCAGCTTCATGTCGGATATTTGTTTTTTATGACTAGTTTTTAAACAGTTGGTATAGTAAGTGCATCAATAAGCTTGTCGAAGCTCATTGCACATAAGGCAACTGTTTAAATTATTCGCTTAATTTCAAACCAGTTGCAATTGTTTACTGATATATATCCGTTAGGACGTATCTTATGCTTTAACAACATAACATTGTAAGTTCTATAGTTTGCCTGATGAGCTGATACAGAATATTCTTCAATGACTCCTATTATCTCATATTTGGGTACCACTAGTAAGTTAGTGATCAATATTTTTATAGGAAAAGTTAAGTATCTGGCTTGATAACAGATGCAAATACGCCCCAACAGTTCATAGAGTAAAAGTAATAATCATGAGGGGTTATGGATTAGACATCAAATAAAGTGCATTCAGAGATCATCCATCACATTGGCGCATGTTGAAATCCACTTGCCTCGTTGAGATTCAATCAGAAATATAATTACCGCAAAGTTTTAGCGAGTGTCATGAAATCGAAAAACTGATACTCTACATTCCAATTAAACGTCTGCTATTGTTTGTATGTTATGATTATTCTCTTCCGAATAGTTTCATTCGATTCATAGTTTCTGAATTCACTCACTAAATAAAATGTTTTGTGTGAGGATTTGACACTTGATTTCGTGAGTAGAAACGCTGACCATAAGTCCTTCAGCACTGTCTTGTTTTTTCTCTCTGAACCTTTTGGAAAGAATAGAACAAGTAGTTCAACACTGAGGCTCTTTTCGGCTAAGACATCTTACTGTACATCTTAATATGTTCTTCATCCTTTTAATGTGACTTTCGCAGATATTGTTTCACATAGGAAAAAGGTTTATACTCAATTCTTTTTATTAATGGTGGGGGAACTCATAGATTCTAAAGCTACCTACGTAGTAGATATCAGAAAACAGTTGTTTTGAAATTTAAGAATGTGTGGAGTGGGGGCCTTGGCTCAGTGGTCTAGGTGCTCAGCTTCTAATCAAGTGGGTCACGGGTTCAAACGCCAATCTGTCTACTGAGGTTCGGGTAGTCGGGTAGCCCCGACCGAAAGCTGCTACCTTGACGTGGTCGGGCTTGAACACCACAATGACCCAACAAGCTATACTGGCTGAGACTTATGTCGCTTGAGGTCCTACCATGCCAGAAAGGTTGTTTGAATAGCGGTTAGACAAAAAGCAGTTACCCAACCCAATGCTATGGCTCTAAGTAAATCACAAAATATCATGCCGGATCGCTTGGGGCCCGAATTAACAACGACCGCGCTTCTTGCTGCCGTATCACAGGACAGAAGTGATGAATATGCTACTGAGACACACCAAATGAAAAAGGATAAACAAAAACAGGCTGCGTATGACCGGCCTCAAGCAGTTGTCCCCTGGGCTCTGGGGTCACGCAACCAACTTCCACGGTGTGGGCAGCCGGGAAGTAACAATCGCCCTCACAATCCGAAATGCACGCGAAACCTCTCTAATCCTGACTCAATCCGGTCGGGTAGTATCCCTAGTCCTCATGCGCACAACATATGTTTCATTGTCAACTGAATAGAATTGCAATCAGTTATCGCGTAATATTCATTCAGAATACCTGGAAATAATTGGATATTCTGCTTTGTGTAAAATCCAGGAGATTAACAATATCATTTATCGGAGTTATCGGTCATTAAACTCAACATTCATTGATTTGGAGGTATTATTTATTGATATGGTCATTTTTTATTTTATCTGTTTAGCTATGAACCATATTCGATATATGGAAGTGAAGTAAGGGGAACAAAGTTTGGGTGTAAGATTCAGTAGTTAGAAGTAAAATACTCCAGCTAATGAATCCCATCTTCCCGAGTCCGTTGTCAAACTCTTTGTCCACTTTTTTGACTCTGAATGTACAAGTTAAAATATATATTTAGTCGTGGTAACATTTAATGTTTTAATGTGTCTCACGAGTTTCAGTCATTCGATTCAACATGTCCATTCATATATTAGCATATACTAGCGGACTAACTTTACATTGTAGATGAGTACATAAACATATTTATTTATTTGTTGAGTTGCACACAACTTGAGTTTTCATTTCTTTAGAATGATAATCTATTTTTTTTTTAATATTTCATAATGATATTCTAAAGTAAAGGAATACTTGCCATATAAGCTTATGTTTACTGTCCATGGATACTTTATTTCTGTCGTAAACTCACTCTTACAGCTTTTCACTTACAGAGGTAGGGTCATCATACCCAGGTTTTATTTTTGTTGAAAGTTCCAAAATGTGCACTGTTTCATTAGATCTTTCTCCCCTTACTTTTACTACCCACTTTTCCGAAGTGTAACAATTTGAATTGACGTAACTTTGTGCAAATTTCTACGTTGTTAAGCCAAGTAATTATCAAAATGCAGAGTCTTCTGAACACCTTGAGCAGCAATCTTCATATGTTTGGCATGCGATTCGCCCCTGTGAAATGCAAGATGCTGCTACAGGACTGGACTACGTCAACTCCTAGCTCAGTGATAGGGAGTGAAGTGATAGAACATGTTGACCACTTCACGTATTTGGGAAATTGTATCAGCATCAACGGATTGATTGGTGACGAAATCACAGCACGGATCCAGAAAGCTCGGGCTGCTTTCGCTAACTTACACCGTCTCTGGCGTAGGCGTGACATCCGGCTGTCAACCAAGGGACGTGTATACTGCTCAGCAGTTCGCTCCGTCCTTCTCTATGGCAGTGAGACGTGGCCACTGAGAGCGGAAGACATGAAGAGATTGTCTGTTTTTGACCACAGATGTTTACGATCTCTTTCTCACGTTAGGTGGTATAATAAGGTAAGTAATGTTGACGTTAGGCGTAGAGTGTTGGACAAAGAGGGAAAATCAATCGACGAGGCTATGAAGTTACATAGATTGAGATGGCTAGGCCACGTGCTGCGCATGCCTAACCATCGTCTCCCCCGACGGGCATTACTAGCTGATATAAGTGCAGGTTGGAAAAGAGTAAGTGGTGCCATGCCAAACAAAAACATGGCATCAATCCATGAAATCCTTGACAGTTAAACTGAGTTAGGTAGGGAGGGAGATGCAGACTTCCAGGTTGGGGCCCTCGGGACTCTAAGAATCAATGGCTGGAGACAATAGGTGACATGGCTCAAAATCGTTGTCAATGGCTTACGCAGATGTATTCAGTCTCTTGTGTAATCTTTCATATTCCTTTCTACCATTACTCATTCTGTTTCACTCTTATACTTATCTAAATTCTATTGATTCTCTTCATCGCTCATTTTCTTGTCTACCTTTGTGTGCTATTTGGAACGTGGCAAGTCGAACTGCTGCACTTCGGTGCCAAGTTCTATGTTGAATCCAGCAGCAGCAAACTTTTGTATTCATATAGCACTTAAAACAAATTGTGTAATACAATCTGATTAGTTTGTTAATGATTTTTTGTAAATTTTCTAGTGACTACTTTGAACGTACTATTCTAGTAAATAGTATGATATGGACATGTTCAGTGTGTAATCGTGGACCTTCAACTTATAAAGAGGCATTAGCTTGTGAACGTGCTGACTATCGACAATTAAGTGCTTTTGATAATGCTTTAGCTTCCGGACTACTGTGTATAATTGCAGGAGCACGAAGACATAGACTGCCAGAACTTGTTGAATTACTATGTGGATTTGCAGGCAGTCGATTTTTTGTCGGTGAAGAAATTGAATTTCACGTTGCAGATTCAAGGTGAGTATCAGGAATTGTTTTCTGTAGACGTTATTTATAACATAGTGAGTATCTTTATTAAACTGTCCTGTTGCTAAGAATCAGATGGAGTGATCTAGGAATTAAAATTGACCCTCTACATAACTTTGATTTTGTGTATAAGCACAGATTGTTAAATGCGAAGCTAGATGTCTAATTGTTGTAAAATTGTGTAATTAAACCGGTTGAATTAGTACCAGATACTTGCCCCTTATCAAGTTGTGGCTCATTCGCTTAGGCGGTTGACTCTTCAACCGGTGGTCCGAAGGTATGTACCCCACTCAACCTATCAAGGTTTGGACTTCCAAATTGTATCACTAGCTCTCGCACACAATAGATGAGGTTCATTGTCAAATTAGCATGGGATTGTAAGTGATTGTCGTTGAGTAACGTTTCAGTTGCTCACTAGAAATTGCTACAAATTGAGCATTAGTAGTAATCCCTGATTCTTTCTTAAATCCCCTATTTCAAACTTTTGACTTTGAGCATAGTATATCTTCTACATGATTACTCAAAAGCTGTAGAATTCTTCCCACTTATTTATTCGAATATTGCACGAACAAATGTAGCAAAATAACACGAGCTCACTAGATTTTATGGATTATTTTCACTAATTGACTGAATTCTGTCAGTCAAGTTCGCAACGTGATCAAAATGCTATAGGCGACTCTCCATCGTAGTGCTTTCCGAATTGGTCTTAGGTGGCTGAAAACAATCAGCATAATTATTTTATTATTTATTTTGTTTAAAACCCGAAACCTGGCACCACTTAATAACAATAAAACAGCATAGATTAGAAGTAAAAACATGGGTAGAGAACGAACGGATAAAGTACTTCATCTGGGAGGAAAGAAGTCATATTTAGCAAATTCAAAAAGTATTCGTCGAATTATTGTCGGAAAGGGAAGAAAAATGGAAATTGCAGCACGTTCACCATCGATTCCGATTCTTGGCCACATCCGATAACGTTTCGAGCTGCGGAATCACTTTATCTCTCGGACACCAACCAGAGAGTCGCGATGCACCAACCAATGCTAATCTACCACAGTCATCCTTCATCCCATGACACCACGTCGTAGGTTGACCGCCTCTCCGCTTTTTGCATCCTATCCCAGGACTAGCGAACAGAGACTGGTACGGACATTCGTAGCACATATCCAAGCCACCTAGGCCAGTGTTTCCAGATGACAACACTCAATGAATGGTGACCTCCACTGTGTGCAAACATACGCCACTAGACCTCCGAATTACTGACACAATGATGGCGTCGAATGCAGGTAATTTTACGAAGACAACGATGATTAAATACGTAGAGTCACTGTACATCCTCAGCTCAGAAAGGCCACAGGTGTAGAGCAAGACAGCGTACGCCGAAACATTGTAAAGCCAACCTTTACAGCCAGGCTAACGTCGTGAGGCGTCTCAAGTTGACATACGCCACCCTAACTTTCATGATACGATTGAAAATCTCATCCGTTACACCTCCGCCAACATTCACACAACTACCCAGATTCATGAACTTATCGATAGCTTCAAGCGGTCCATCTGCAGAAGTGAGTGCAGCTACAGACTCCTACCAATCTTGTAACAGTACTTTGCATTTAGACGGTACAGACACAATCAGCATAAAGAATTACTTGCATCTTTTGTGCAACGTATACATTTTAAATATTCTTCAGATTCTAGGGAGTAAAGAAAGAAGAATCTGCGGACTAAGTGACCAGTTTTCTTTTGCATTGTATTCATCACTAAAAATTTTTGACCAATACTTAAAGATTAGTGTGTGCCGACATTATCTCATGTTTGCACTGTATTGCACTGAAACTGACAGCCTTGATGAACTGATCGGTAATTCCTTCTTTTAACTGTTTTTTTCCTTTTTCCAATCTGACACTTACATGATTTTGTAGGAAGGCTTTTAACACTTTCACTATAACACTTGTATTTATCTTATATTGTTTCTATGTAGTATTAATTAGCCCTCACTATTTCACAATTTTAGTTTCCGATCCTATGGTATTATCGAGCGTGTGGTCGTTTCTCAGAAAAAAAGTCAATTTGAACATGTAAGTGTACAACCTTTCCCTTGAAAAGTGTGTATAAATATAATTCCTGTATGTTCCCCAGTGGAACCTAGGGCTTCAAGCTAGAGACTTGACGTCTCGGTAACACTGGTATTTTATTTTTACGGGATGGGGTTGCTAGCCTCATGCCCAACCTTCCCTTTTTACCAGTCTTATTACTGGCTTAGTGACTGACGTAAAGGAGTGCGTTGCTGGCCGGGGGTCGAGCCCCGAACCAAATGAGGCTTGGTTGGCTAGCATTCTACCGCTGTGCTACCTATGCACATATATACTCTGTAAATGATTTAATTTCAACTGTTACTTTCTAAAGTAAAAGTCATTTAATTGAGTTGAATTCCACTTGTTGAGTCACCTTATTCTAAAACTTGTCTATTCACTGAAAAGATGGTAAATAAAAACCTTTGGTTCCTATGGTAGATTGCTCACCAGGCGTGTAAATGACCCGGGTTCAATTCCCGGCTGACACGCGCAATCCTAAACCTCACCTAGCCGGTAATCAGTCTGGAATAGATGGGAAGGTGGGGCGACCGCACCCAGTTAAATAGGCCGTAACACAGCCAGTGAAACTACAAAACTTAAGCATGGAAGCCATATGTTCCAGTCGGAGTGTTAAACAAACTGTAGACTGCATTAGTCATCACTGTCTTATACATTTGATTGAAAGCGTTTCTTTCGCACAGAGTCAATTAAAAACAGGCAAAAAAAGAAACTGCAAAAGAAAGCAGTGTTTAACCATTGAGTAGTTAAGACTGACTGGTCTACTTCGCTTGAAAGGACCATCACCACAAATATCCTATGAGCTAGTGCGTTTGCTTACGCGTTATTTACTCAGAATTCGTGAATAATCCCCTCCAGACATTAATCAAGACAAAACATGTAGTTCAACCATGGATAGTCTCTTTTCTTGGCGAATAATTCATTTTGATTGCATGGAGGATTTCATCATCAGCTGACATCAGTTAGAGAACCACTAGAAAACCTGGGAGTACTGGACAGCTGTTTCATCCTAGTTTGGGACTCTTCGGAACTACGCACCCATCGGGATTCAAACCCCAGGACCTTCTAGTTACAAGGCGAGCTTGTAGACCATTGAGCCACTGGGACTCGATGCAATGGTCCTTGAATTCTAACTTCTGCCAGTTCACGACAAAGCGCGACCATTTCGCAATGTCTTCTTCGATGAGTTACTGCCTCATCTTCAACCTGCTGTACCCTACTGGTCACGACTTCCCACTAGAACCCCAAGTTAACTGCCTGAATAGGGTCAGTCACTAATGAGCATCAGTGGCTCAATGGTCTACGAGCTTGCCTTGTAACCAGAAGGTCCTGGGGTTTGAATCCCGATGAGTACGTGCTGATGAAGAATCCCACACTAGGACGAAACAGCTACCCAGTACTCCCAGGTTTTTCAGTGGTTCTCTAACTGATGTCAGCTCACGATGAAATCCTCCATGCAATCAAACAAAATCCCTACAGAACCAATACTTGAAAACAATTCATTTTCCCCTTATATCTATGCAATCACATTTTTATATACAATTTTTTTTCTTGCAACAGGATAATAACAAAAGTAGTGGTGAATTGTCACAAATGTATAGTTGTTAATACTATTCAATGCATTAAATAAAAGTTGAATAAGCGTATTATAGTTACGTAATAATAAGAGGAATAAATGAGTGAGTCGTGGTCAAGATGTGTGCACATATAAAACATGAAGGAAGATATCGACTTAGGTAAGCGCGTGAGTTCTAAAGAAAAATATTGAAAAGTTGTTGTAAGGCTTAAAGAAAAACAGGCACACAAAAGTCAAGTGAGTAGAAATCAACACATTCGTTACCATGACAGTAAAAGTTGTTTTCTGTAGAAGAAATGTATTCACCCAGTTTGTAAATACACGTGTGTGTGTGCGTGTTTCGTACCCTATAAAGTTTTCTTTATTTTTTTCCCATCTCTAACAGAGTGGAGTTCTGACAGATTCAGATACTCAGAGGCGTGCTATTCCTGATGCATCAAAACTTCATTACTGTGTAAGGGAATATAAAAAGGCGGATAGTGTAAATCATGTTGCATCGAGTGTTTTAGTCCCTGGATCTATTATTCATCGTCGTAATCGTAATGCGCTAGCCAGGGATCAAATTAAATTTTTTATTCGACATACATGTGAATTAAAACATGGAGTTTTTACGCCTAAGGTGAGTATGGAAAAAAATTTGTTTAAAACTGTTACTGAAATTCCTTAGCTTATTTATGTAGTTGTTAGTTAACCTCTTTTCTGTTAATATCAAGACTGGTCATAGGATTTCATCATGACCTGAAATCGGTTAGAGAATCATTGGAAAACCTGCTGAGAGTATTGGACAGCTGTTTCGTCCTTGTATGTGGGACTCTTCATCAGTGCACACCCACCGGGGTTTGAACTGAGGACCTTCTGGGTATAAGGCGAGCAAGCTTGTAGACTATTAAACCACTGGGAGCCGATCCAGTAGCCAGTGCATGAATTTCAACTTCTACCAATTCACGACACGGCGTGACCACTGGCGATTGTCATCGCTGTCGAGTATTTGTCTTCACACCTGACCTGTTGTACTCCAATGGTTACCACTTTTCACTGGGACTTAGGTAACTGCCTACCAGGTTTTCCAATGGTTGTCTAACCGATGTCAGCTCATGAGAAGATCCTGCAACCAATCAAATCAAATACCTGCAAACCAATACGAATATCGAGCCTTTTTTATGTTGAGGTGTGACTCATTGGTCGTCTTGACGGTTGACTTCCAAACAAGAGTGAGTCACACTTTCGAACTCCTCTCTACCTGTTAAAGTTTGGACAGATCAAGTTATATCAATATCCCTTACGTCCACACACTAGAAGTGGTTCGTTAACGACTGCACAGAGTCGCAAGAGGTTGCGTACAAACACATGTTGGGATATACACTATTGAGAAATGGTTACCACACGGGAATACTTCAGAAAAGAAAGAATATCTACCATAGTTTCGTCTAATGACCATCTGCCTTATTTGAAAATTTGACTGTTGGGATGATGAATACTTTTATATCATGCTGATGTACAAGTTTGTTTTTGGCTTTACACTATATGAGTTATGGAAATGTTAGCCCATTAGGTTGAACAGCATTTGACTTTTAGTTTGTGTGTCGTAGGTGTTCGACTCCTGCTGCATCTACTTTAGCTTGGTCAATTAACTGGGTACTAACTACCCCTCCACAGCCCTCTCTCACATTCCATAAGTGTATGGAGAGTGAGTCAGTTGATGAAGCTGTGAGGTTATATCGACTGGGGGGGGGGGCTGGCTAGGATATGTGTTACGCATGCATAAACCTGGTCGTTGCCTTACTTGACGAGCAATGTTAACTGACACAGGATCAGATTAGAAGAGCTCTAGTGGTGGTCAAACCAAAACATAGAATCAGTCTATGAAATCTTTCACACACACAGTTATTTTTGAGTCAGCCACGTAGGATGGTGTAGACTGCTTGACTGCTTAGAGAGTCCTCGGGATTCTTGGAACCATTTGCTGAAGACAATTAGTGATGCGACTCGAAATCATTCTCAATGGCTGGTTCAGATGCATTCACTCTGTGTAATCTATCTCCGATATCCATTAAACCCTCATGTTTTTTCCCCATGTAACTGTTCTTTCTCTCTCTCACATTTCTGCTTATTATCGTTGTTTTGAATCTATTTTTCTCTCCCTTTTGTCTTCCTTTGTGTGGTACATAAGGTGTGGCAACTGGAAGTGGTGCACTTTTGTGCAAAGTTCTTTGTTGAAATCAGTCAGTCAGCCAGTCATAAGTGTGTGTGTGTGTGTCTCATAGCCTGGTACATGGAAAATACATTGCGGTTAAGTGAGATTTAACACCAACAGCAACACCCCCTAAATAATGCTCTTTTTATAATTTGAGTAGTAGTTCTTTTTGGGAGTGGGGAGTACTATTGTTATTTTGAGTTTCCATACTTCCTTTTGCTTTTGCGCAAATCTTATAGTACTATCTTTTCTTTTATATTACTACACGAATAATGTGTATTAAAACTCTTGTGTTGCACAGGAGAATACCTGGTGTACAGAAGTTTACCTTACGTTCTGAGCGAGGACATTGAGTTTTGACGACACATATCTCCATTGTACTCAATTCCCTGCTCTATGACTATCAGTTAGCTCTACGATGACTGCCTTACAAACTCTCACCTCCTCTTTATATAATCTCCTTAGATTCACCTCTAACGCATCACATCCCATTTGGGTTCTACTCGAGGGCTTGGCGTGTCCCGTACTGCCCAGTAGTATATACTCCCCCTATGGTTCTCTAGCTTACACCAGTTCTCCTTCAGGGTTGACAATGATCCTTACTTACTATCTACTATAAATGCGATCAGTATGTTATCAAATTTTATGCCTACTGTGTGGTGGTGTGATACAGACAATGTGTTCCAACGGAATATGATTCTCACATATTCCCACAGTTCAATACTGCATCAGCAACAGAATACGATATATCTAGTCTATTTGAACATTCTATTTGACGTTAGAGACAGAATACATTTCCCGTGGTTATATACTGACTGTATTAACAACAGAACACTACGTATATTTGAACATTCTATTTCACATCGTTTGATGTAAACCAAAACCACACACTCAGTGATTGGTTAACAAATATAAGGTGTAGATATATGAACAGCGGTTTGATTAATGAAAAATATACCTTGGCTTCCGTGTATTGCCTTCCGCTGTTACATTTGGTGCCGCCGCCTACCGACAAATGGAAGGCCTATGCCCTGCAGTTTTTGATGTAGACATATGGGTCTTCTGACAGAACTTCGAGGTTGTTGCGCAGTTGATTGGTGTCGGTAGCACAGCGGTTAGGACTCTCGCTGACCATGCACATGGTCCGGGGTTCGATCCCCTGCTGACGCACACCTGATATCTATGATCGGCCTGCAAAATTTGGGCTACCGATATCATATGCTGAAAATTCCATACTTGTACCAAAAATACTGTGTGGTTTCCAGCTATAATCAAAAATAAAAATCAGTCAGCGATGAGGCTGTTACATGGAACGCTGCTGGAAGGTCGGACGACAGCAGCATATGTTAGCGTGAGGCGAAACACCGGCGAATACGAGCCAGGATCATGCAAAGTGCTTCGAAAGTGGGAAGGACCATACATGGTCACCGTCAGATGGGGTCACGTATATACTATCAGAAATGCAAACAAAGAGAAACGGGTGAACGTCTGCGAGCTCCGGAACTCGATACAGCAAGATAAGCTAACAAAGCCGCCAGCACCAACAAGATCGAACCGACTTCAGTTGAGTGTGATGCTGCGATACAGACAATGTGTTTTATTTTTTTTTAATTTTTATTTTTATTACAGCTTGATTCCACACCGTATTTTCAGTACAAGTATGGAATTTTCAGCATGGATAACGGAATATGATTCTCACATATTCTCACAGTTCAATACTGCGTTAGCAACAGAATACTATGTATATTTGAACATTCTATTCCATGTTGCTGCTGCTGCTGGATTCAACATAGAACTTGGCACCGAGGTGCAGCAGTTCGAGTTGCCACGTTCCATGTCGTTTAATGTAAACGAAAATCACACGTTCAGTGATTGATTAACAAATGTAAACTGTAGAAATATAAACAGCGGTTTGATTGATGAAAAATATACCTTCGCTTCAGTTCCTCGCCTTCTGTTGTTACAGTACTAGTCTCCGCATTATTATCATCCTGTGGATGGAAGCTATGCTCTACTTAAAGGATTTGAACTGCAGATCTATTGGTTGTAGTAACACGTTTTGTATAATTTCAGCTAAACAACTTTGCAAAATAGTAAATAAGGTGATTTTCTTTGTTTTTTTCTCTTCTCCCATCATTACTAATGTAGACTTCAATTATGAAACGTTATAAATTACATCCATATGGACCTGTAACATGGACTAAACTATTTCTACCACCAGAGCCCCGTTGGTCTGAGCTAGTCCCTACACTTCCCTGTAAGTTTTACAATTAATTAATTATCTGATAGTGTTTGTTATTTGTTATTGTTTCTATCAATAGGTATTCCTAATTGTTTGTTGTTGGTGAACCTTTTCAACCTGAATTGTATCTTAATAACTGTGTAGAATTTTAATGATTATTATTCCCTTGGATTTCGAGTGGAACATAGAGCTTCAGCATCACGTCTCTACTTTATCCTATTCTGTGAAGTCCTCTTACGCTGGTCCGACGATTGCGCATAGTCTCTGATCTCCTCCTCCATGTCACCCTCGGACTCACACCGAACTCATTTCTCATTCGGATTCCACTCGAGCGCGATGTAATTCGACGGTCTCCTCAGCGTGCGTCCTATGATCCATCTCCACTTTCTTCTACATATTTCTAAGCAATAGGTTCTTGATTGGTTCATTACCTACCAGAGTTTCGTGTTGCTATAGTTCTTTCTGGTCATTTGATCCTCAGTATGAAGAGTGAAGACAGCTAGTGATAAAAGTCTACGACCTGTTTGAAATGCTTTTCGTAACGTGTTGGCGAAGTTTCTAACGCAAATAGAAGAACTGATTGACTTAACATTCGTGTTGAAAATCCAAGTCTTTTTCTTTATACTGAGTGAATATTACTAGACTGATTTCAGTGTTGAAGGTATACTCTACCTTTCCGATTCTGGCTCTAACATCTTTATAAGTTCCGCATGTATTTGAAGCGATTGGTGCATGTTGCTTTTTGTTGGTTGGCTATCCTCATCTCCTTCATCTTCTTTATGTTCACTTGGGGTCTTGTCTTCGTTGGCTGTTTCTTCTGCCAGTTGGTTGGCTTTCACTTGTCAGTCTTTGAGTTTGTGTGACACTAAACATAAATCGTCTGCGAAATCCAGATCTCCTAGAGTCTTCTTATCGGTCCAACGTAATCCTATCTGCTCACTCCCAACGGATAGTTTGACGCATAATTCAATCCGCTACAACTACGAATATCACCTGTGATTGTCCGCGGCTTTGTCTTACTCCTGTCTTCACTTCGAACGCCTCGTCGAGTTTTTCGTTTTGGATCACTTGACACGTAACATTGTCACATACCCGTTGAAAAAGTTAAATAGAGATTTACGCAATGCACTCCATAGTGTTGAAGCAGTTTCCAAATTACATCGCGGCTAATGCTGTCGAAGGCCTTTTCAAAGTCGATGAAATTGAGCTAGACGTTTGACTGTCATTCTGTGCGTTGTTCGATAATTATGCGTATAGAATTATTGTTATTATTGGTATCTAGCCAATCGTTTTCCTTCCTCGTTTTTTGCTAGCGGGATATGCAGTCTAGATACCTAAATTATAGGTAACCTCATTATCGTTATGAATTTCTTTCGCATTCTTCCTTAACTTCCGAGGGAAAACCAAGAGCTTGAGGCTTTGAAGTTTCCGTGACAGTGGTATGGTGCCTTTTCCTTCCGCAGTGGGGGTGGAGTTGCTAGCCTCATGCTTCCTACCTTCCCTCCTTCCTCGACTTACCCGCTAGTAGGAAGTTAGGCCAGATGCGTGGGAGTGCGTTAGTCAGGCATCGTAACTGGCAAGCAATTCTACCTTTGAACCATCAAGACTCATAACTGTCCAAAACGTTTAATAGATTCCCCCCCATTTAGATGTGTATATTTGTTTATCAAGTCTTACAATATTTAAAGCTTTTGTATTTTTAATATATTTTCTGTGTGTTGAAGTTTCTCCAGCGGTTTGAAAGTTTTAGTGGTGTGGGGTTGCTAGCCCCACGTCCAGACCTTCTTTACCCGGGCTTGGGACCGGCTAGAAAACTAGCGAGCTAGTTAACTAGGCGACAAAAATCTGGGAACAAACCAACAGGCAAGAGCCGATCGGTCAAAAAAACATGTAGGAGAAAGTGGAGATGGATTGATCGGGCATACATTGAGGAGGCCGCTGAATGACATCACACACCAGGCCATTTCTTGAGTGGGATCCAGATGGGAAGTGACGAGTGGGTCATCAGTGTGAGGGTGACATGGAGTTGATCGTGTGAGGAAGAGATGAGAGGGAGCTTGGTCAATCGTGTGGTTAGCCATCTGAAGAGGACGGCAGAAAACAGAACAAAGTGGAGATGTGTTGTTGAAGCCCTATGTTCCACTCGGAACGCAAGGGAATAATAATATATTATAATAATGCAATATTTGAACCGTGAAGAAAATGTATGCATCGATAGGTAGATTGTTCATCATAAACGGAATTAGAAATAATAACAAGTCTAAATCACTGTTGCAATATGATCAATAATCCCAACTTACCTTGTGGTGGCGATCCGCAGCCAGTGGTAATATCTTCATACGGACAGGGACTGTCAAAACCATTTCAGGCGGGCCGTGTGTAAGCATGACTGTATAGCTTATAGTCATGCAAAATATATTCAGACAGTAGGGTTGGACAGAGTAATATAGTCAGATAGATAGATTGGTAGACGCAGAAAGAAACAGGTTAATTACTGAGTATTTATTCATCGAATCAGTTTCGGATACGCAGCGAATTTCATTGAAAATAGCAGGAGGGAGTACAACTTTTTGACATGATAATATCACCCACTCATGAATACTATGTGCGTTTATATTAAATAAATTTATCTATTATAGGAATTATTATTCACCATTCTCTCTAGTTCTTAAGAATTAGTTAGGTTTTGGATAGATTTCTAAGATGGAGTTGAGTGAGTTGAAGAGTTCATGAAAATCTCGGACCATAAAGATCTGCTGAACAGGTCCAGGTTGCTCACACCCTTGTAAAACATAATTGAATCTTGCTCTGCCTACTTCAGTCTAGACAACTGGATAGCAGAAGCATTAGCCCACCTCACATAATGAGTGTCGTTCAAAACCGGGTAACTGAGTTCTGTTTCTTGTAAGGAATTATTCGGCTAACATGTGAAAGATAAACTGTCTCATTTAGTGTCCACATCAGTATGCTCCCATGGAGACTGAGTACATTGGATGTACCATGTGTTCACCTATAAAACGCTCTCAAAAACACTATCCAACCTGTCTAGCAACAAAAGGAAATGTAGACGTATATATATAGTTTGGTAACAAGGCCACTCAACTCAACCAAATTAAGAGTTCTCATTGTCCATTCGTCCATCTTTCATAATACTCATCTGCGTTTATTATAGGTTTTTCTATTTTTTTTTTTTTTTTGTTTTGTTATAATTATTCCTAGCCACTGTGAATCGAAATATAGTCAATCATCCAAAAGAATCTAATCGTCCTGTCTGTCAAGGATTCAAAGTGATCGATACTTTTATGGAAGACAAATCTGTTGTACGTAGTCAAACAAAGATACCAGCCTCTGTTACACTTAATCATCATAATAAAACTTCATCAATGGGAACAACTGGAACTCGTGTACAGTATTATGAACCGCATACACTTCAATCACAAAAAGTTTTCTATCAACAGACGCATACAATAATGAGTGGATCATATATGATGAATGGATCACCTAGTAAGCATATATTTATACATGTGTGTGTGTGTGTATATACGTAGAAACTTATCGCATGTGTTTAACCTTAAAAAAACATACATCCTCAGCTGTAATGTATCCGTCTTATTGACTGACTGATTGAGATTCGACGGTAGAATTTTGCACAGAAGTTGCCACACTTCATATAAGAGAAGAAATGTATGAGAGAAAGGATAGTAACACGTGAAAAAAACACGCAGGCCCTAATGGATCTGGGAGACTACAAGAGGTGGAATTCGTTCGTTTGTTCCATTGAGAACTATTTTGAGTCATATCACCAGGCTATTGAGGTTGGTCTTTATACACCGCCTTACGTGGCCCAAACCAATACTTTTGAAGACTGCATCAATTGATGCCAGGTTTTGATTGATTTAACCGCCCCCCGCCCTTCCCTAAGACTCTTTTCCAACTTAATCCCCTATGTCAGCTGATATTGCTTTATCGAGGAAAGAAGTTAAATGGCTTGGCATGAGTAGCCTCCTTCTTACTACTACATTTACAAGTGTGGCTATTCCAAGAAATGAGGTTGAAATAAATTTATAGAAGTCTTGTATGATATATACATGACAGCTTCGTGTGCTTTGGGAAGTATGCGTGGGCGGTTGTTACTACTACCCATCTGCCCACAATGTGGAGGTTGACTTTTTCTGCCCTCCCCTCTCCAGAGTGGAGGGGAGAAACACCTTATTACTGTTATATCCTTGTTTCCCAGCAGTAAGACTGTGCTCCCATAGACCCTTAACATAGTGTCAACACTATATAACGGTAAATGCCTTTAGTCTAATGGGTATCCTAGCAACCTTTCTAGGATGACAGGACCGCTAGAAATATTAGTTCCAGTCAGTGTAGCTTGTGTTGGCTCATTGCGATATTCAAGCCCGATGACAACTGTATCAGGGTAGAAGCCATCAGTCTACAAGTTGCATCAGCCTTCAACACGGACTGATTGCTGATGAAATCTCAGCACGGATACAAAAGACTCCTGTGGCGTAGATATAATATCCGGCTATCGATCAAGTGACCTGTGTATTGCCCAACAATTCTTTCCATCCTTCTTTATGACAGTGAGACTTGGTCATTGACAGTGGAAGATATGAAAAGACTAGCTCTCTTTGATTACAGATGCTCGAGATCGACCTCTCGTGTTAGGCAGTATAATATTGAAGTTAGGCTTCGTCGGGTATTAGTTAAGGAGGGAAAGCCAATCGATGAGGTTGTGAAAGTGAGTCGATTGAGATGGTTAGGACATGTGTTACGTAGGTCTAACTACCTCGTTCTTCAACAGCTAATACTAACTGAGATAGGATCAGTTTGGAAGAGTTAGTGGTGGTCAAACTAAAATATGGAATCAGTCCAGGAAATCTTTGACAGTTAGTCTAAACCGGGGAATAGTCTTATGGACTTAGAATATGCAGATGACATAGTCCTGTTAGGGGAAGATGCTGACAAAATGCAGAGTCTTCTGAACACCTTGAGCAGCAATCTTCGTATGTTTGGCATGCGATTCGCCCCTGTTTAATGTAAGATGCTGCTACAGGACTGGACTACGTCAACTCCTAGCTTCGTGATGATAGGGAGTGAAGTGACAGAACATGTTGACCACTTCACCTATTTGGGAAGTTGTATCAGCACCAACGGATTGATTGGTGACGAAATCACAGCACAGATCCAAAAAGCTCGGGCTGCTTTCGCTAACTTACACCGTCTCTGGCGTAGGTGTGACATCCGACTATCAACCAAGGGACGTGTGTACTGCTCAGCAGTTCGCTCCGTCCTTCTCTATCGCTCTGAAACATGGCCAATACGAGTTGAAGACATGAAAAGGTTGACTGTTTTTGATCATAGATGTGTATGACCTCTTTCTCATGTTAGGTGGTATAATAAGGTAAGTAATGTTGACGTTAGGCGTAGAGTGTTGGGCAAAGAGGGAAAATCAATCGAGGAGGCTATCAAGTTACATAGATTGAGATGGTTAGGTCAGGTGCTGCACATGCCTAACCATCGCCTCCCCCGACGGACGGGCATTACTAGCTGATATAGGTGCAGGTTGGAAAGGAGCAAGTGGTGGCCAAACAAAAACATGGCATCAATCCATGAAATCCCTGACAGTTAAACTGAGTCAGGTAGGAAGGGAGATGCAGACTTCCGGGTTGGGGCCCTTGGGACTCTAAGAATCAATGGCTGGAGACGGACAATAGGTGACATGGCTCAAAATCGTTGTCAATGGCTTACGCAGATGTATTCAGTCTCTGTAATCTTTCATATTCTTTTCTACCATTACTCATTCTGTTTCACTCTTATACTTGTCAAAACTCTATTGATTCTCTTTACTCATTTTCTTGTCTATCTTTGTGTGCTGTTTAGAACGTGGCAACTCGAACTGGTGCACTTCGGTGCCAAGTTCTATGTTGAATCCAGCCAGTCGGGATTCTAAGAATCATTGGCTTTAGACAATTGGTGATATAGCTTGAAATCGTTCTCAACGGTGGAGATGCATTCACTTTTTGTCATGTGCCATATCCCCTTCCCGAAAATGCCGCTAATTATCATTCTTTTGGATCTCTTTTTTTCTCTCTCTCTTCGGCTGTCGATCAGTGAACCTGTGTCCTGCACTGTGGTTCTCGGCAGCCTTCTTTGCAAGTATGGGGCATGGTCTTTGAGAGAGGAGGATATGAAGAGGCTAGTTGTCTTTTCAACATACATCTATATGAGTTCTATCTTCCTCATTAAATGGTATAGTAATAGGGTGAGTTATATTAAATTAAGGTTACACACGTAGTGTTTAGCCGGTTTGACTCTTCAACTCAAAGAGTTGAATCAATTCACATCAGTCGAATTACAAACTAGAAGAATTGACTTAACACTGGTGATGAAAAATTCGAATCTTGTCCTTTATACGGATTGCAGAAGATCTTCATACTGATCCCAGAGGGATGAAGGTGTCTGCCTTGTCTTTCCAACTCTGGTTTAAATATTCTCATATTTGTTGGCACCTGTAAAAGAAGTCGGTCGGTCGGTTTTCGACATAGAACTTTGCACATATGGGCGGCAGTTCAATTCGCCACACTCCCTCCATGTAGCACACAAAGCAAGAGAAGAAAGTAGGAGAAATGCATAATAGAGACAGTAAACAGAGGTGTGAGACAAAGGAATAGTAATAACGAAGAACAAAACAGATTCATTGGGAATCATAAGTCGCAAGAAGTGGATGCATCTGTGCCAGCCATATAGAACGATTTCGAGCCATATCAACGATTGTCTCCAGTCACTGGTTTTTATCGTCCCGAGGACCCCAACCAGTCAGGAAGTCTACACCTTCCTACGTGGCTTAGACTAACTGTTGTGGATTTCATTGACTGGTGCCATGTTTTCGTTTGACCGCCGCTAGCTCTTTTCCAGCCTGACCCTATGTCAGCTAACATTGCCCTTCGGTCGAGGAAGGCGATGACTAGGCATCCGTAGCACATGTCCTAACCATCTCAGTCGATGTAATTTCACAGTTTCGTCGACTGATTTCCCCTCCTTACCTAGCATTCGACGCCTAACCTCAATATTGCTCACCTTATTATACCACTTCACGCGGGAGATGGAACGCAGACACCTATGATCGAAGACAGCTAGGTAGGCTTTTCATGTCTTCCACTCTCAATGGCCAGGTCTCACAGCCATAAAGGAGGACGGAGCGGACTGTGAAGGAAGTGACCTCATTTTAGTTTCTGCCGTTGATAGTGATTGGCGCTTGTTGTTATTGTCGATTGGTTGGTTGGTCAGTTGGTTATCTTCATCACCTCCGTCTTGTCTATGCGTTCACCTTGAAATCCTGTCTTCGCTGGCTGTTTCTTCTGCTGGTTTATTAGGTTTCGCCTGTCAGTCTTTGAGTTTATATGACATTAGACATAAATCGCATATGAAAGTCCATATATTCTAGAGTCTTCTTATTGATCCAACCTAAATTAGTACAATATAATTCTGTTTAATTGAAGAATGTCATACTACATATACATGCATAAATTTCTCGTTTTTCCCTTATTTACTAGATCATTTATTATTACAACAACAATCTACCCATGATATTCCTCGTTCAATAAGAGTTGAAAGAAATGAACTAGAAAGAGAATGGAGTTTAGTGCGTCGTCGTGAAGACTTAGAATTACCCGATTTAATACCTTTACCTGAATATACAAAGGTAAGAAAATAAGTCTTCCTTCCTCTTCCACCAGCGCTCCCGCCCTTGTTTTGTTTTTCCATATTTTAGTTTATTTCATGTATGAAAGGCACACATACACACACACGAGTGAAAGAGTCACGGTTCGGTCAGTGGAATTTTGTGAATCTCCTGATGGACAGGTTTGTTGAATCATTCCTGTTGCATGTACCATTCTCAGCTAATTCGACAAATGAAGTTCCAGATTATGGGATTTGTGGCGATTTTGAATTTATTTCAACTATAAGATCTTTGTCACAAACCAACATCAATTAGAGTGATCACTGAAAACCTCCAGGGAGCACTGAACTATCAGGTGGATTTCTTGAAACTGCTGTTGCTGCTGCACCGGGAAGTTGTGACCAGTGGGGTTCACGACCATGTCAAGGCGTAGAGGATGCTTATCAAAGGTATCGATAAACGACAGTGCGCCATATCACGAGTTTGATAAAAGGTAGAATTCATTACTCAACTGAATTCCCACCTAAATGACTAAATGTTCAACGAGTTTGGTCTCTTAACCTGGTGAGGGGGGTGGGCACTTCGGAAGAGTCCCGAAATGCGATGAAACATCTGTTTGTTCAGTGGTCCCTGGTTTTCAATAATCTCTCAAACTGATGTCGTCGATTCGCATAACGAAAGCTTAACAATGGAACAGAAAGTCTCAGTTATCAGTCTCTCTGTGTCTCCGTCCTGTTAAATTAGGTTTCCAAACTATCACCTTCATGAATCCCTCTTAATAAGTGGGAAATAAAGACAAGAACTATGAGAGAATAAACGAGTTTCGAAAGTGTGTGATTACAATTGAATATATCGTGCTCGAAACGTTGTCATCCTGTCCATAATAATAATAATACTGTTTCACTGTGTAGTATATCCAATACTTGAATATCAATGAGATGGTCACTAGCGACTGGCCCTATTCGGGTAGGTAGTTACCTGGGTTCTAGTGGGAAGTCGTGAGCAGTAGGGTGCAGCAGGTTGGGTGTGAGGACAAATACTCACCGAAGACATTGGCTAGCGGTCGCGCTGTGCTGTGAATTGGCAGAAGTTAGAATGCGTAGGTCATTGGATCGGGTCCCAGTGGCCTAATGGTATACGAGCTCGCCTTGTAAACCAGAATGTCCTGGTTTCAAATCCCGGTGGGTGCGTACTGATGAAGAGTCCCAAACTAGGACGAAACAGATTTCCAGTACTCCCAGGTTTTCCAATGGTTCTCTAACTGATGTCAGCTCATGATGAAAATCCTGTAACCAAAAACATATTTAATAACACATAAAACAGGTTGAATAAGCGTGATACAGTTACGTTATAAGATGAATAGTTTAATGAGTGAGTTGTGTAATTAGGATGCACTTAGAAACGAATGAAAATATGGAATTGCGTAAGAGTTCTAAAAAATTACAAATGTTATGAAGATTTAGAAAAACAAGCACACAAACATCAAGTCAGTAAAAGTCAACACAGTTGTTACCATGATAGTAGAAGTGGTTGGATGATTTTCTTTTGTGTACATAACTCTGGTTTCTTCAACCGAATGGCTAAGGCTACAGCAATACGAAGGAGACGAAATCGTATTGTCTTTGGTAGGTAGTTCTTCACTCTGTAGATAACTTTGAAGCAGGAGGCGTTTGTTGAGATGGAATGACCAATGTTGACGAGATGTTCGATTATCGCACTCCTTATACAGTCACTATTACCTTTTTGCAACCATGCGGGATAGTGTTCCTGAACCCGTTATGGACAGGATGCGCGTCGAACGATCAATGTACTTGACTGCACATCAACAGGTGAACTGACATACGCACATAGAAATAGCCAGATGCAGCATCTTATCCTTAAGGCTTCTGCAGATCAATGAGCGACTGGAGAACACCACTCTTAGTGTTACTGTAAACAATGTTCTTTTCAAAGATACTGAGATTCTTCTCTTGAGGATATCGCAAGCTAAGTCTGCCTTGAAATCCAAATTCATGTAAAGTGTCTTTTTTGAAACAAGTGATGTTTCGTTCCTCTGGACGGCTATCCATTTTAGATGAAGGTTTCCTTCAAAAGAACTACTAAGGCGTTAGAGCTACAGATGCGCTGGATCCGAGTGGTAACGGATTTAATCAGTTTTCGTTTGTTAGGTGACCGTTTCAAGTCGGTTTACTATGGATTGACCTTCATAAGGTTCCGTCCGATTATCTTGTTAGTTGCACATCAATAGAGGGAATTTGGGATTGGCATTCCATTTCTAGAGTGAATTTTATTACCGGATGTGGGTCCTATTCACACAACTCACTCACTAAACTATTCATCTTATTACATAACTGTATTACACTTATTCAACTTCTTTTATGTGTTAATAAATGTTTTTTGGACGATACATCACCACTACCCTCTTACCAATCTTCCTTCCCCCCTCCTCTGCCCTGGTTACAGTTTTCTTACTCATCACATTTTTTAAATGTTTTGACAACAATAACCCTAACTTCTTATTTGTATTCTTATCGGACAAACTTAATGTACACACACACACGCACACGAAAATGGGTTTATACAAATTGTGATTGTACAGGTAAGTAAATGAATTCACCGCCGAAAACAGACTCTCCACTGAACTGCATTTCATTCATGCCTCTGGATGAGGATTATTCATGAAATAAACAAATTGTTTCTTTTGTTTGTTTTTATTTCATTTTCTTGTGCTGAGAGAGAGAGAGAGAGTTTTATGCATTTTTTGTTATTTTCTCCAATTTATTTTTATGCCGGATTTCTTTTTTGTTATTGTTGTTCAATTTCACAGTTCCCTACTTTATTATCAATGGATGATGTTGGCTCAGTGATACAATTGTTAGAATTTTTCAATGTCTTTGGTCCATTCATTGGTTTTGTTGTTCCGCATACAAATTATAAATCCTTGGAGTCGTCAGCATCCCACCATAGTACAACAGTTGAACGTGTAACATCCTCAACATCTACCTCAACAACTTTGTCTGCTTCTTCCTCTAGTTCAAATTCATCATTATTGACATTATCTATTTTAGAAAATAGTCTATTAGAATCTGATCCTTGTGGTCCATTGGCTGATCTATTCATAAGTATTTTGTCTGCTATACGACGATTTGAAGTAAGTACATTCTTGATGTGATTTTTTAATTGTAATCACCTGTTTTCTTTTAACACATGAACCTTGCTCCATCAGCTGAGATTTGTGCTCAGGTGGGTGGGGTGGGTAGTATTGTGGTGTGTGCTACTAATACGATATTGAACATCGGAGGGATAGATTTAATGGCGAAGAGAAGAGGTGAACAATTCTTGTGAAAAAGCATTAGAGGAGGACATGTGGAGAAGATTTGTAGCTCAAGTGGATGATTTTGATGTGGTTGTGTTCTCTGAGCTGGATGGGTAGTTTATTTGCGAAGCTTTCATTGAAATATGTGCTGAAGATGCTACATAGTAGGGCGGTGAAAGCTTCGCAAATAAACTATCCAGCTCAGAAGACACAACCACATCAAGAAAACATATGTAGGTGAAGCAGTAGTGTGCTCGCCAACTACTCCGACTTTCAATATGACCGGTCGACACACGCCTCAACCTCGCGTAGCTGGTAGTAAGTCAAGTAAAGGGTAGGAAAGGTCGGAGGGTGAGTGTGTGGGGGGGGGTTGGCAACCTTACTCTGTAAAATTAAAAGGGATAACACCAAGGCCACGGAAACTTTGAGGCTCAAATTTTGAAGGTCTGTGTTTCACTCAGAGGATGGTAAAGGGATAATAATAATAATACTAATGGTAATACTACTAATAATAATGGAGTGCAAATTGTGATTTTAAAATAAGGCGGATGTGTTTTTGCTATATGTGTGCATCAATTTGCCAATAAATGCTTCTGGTACCAAATACTACCGTGTTATGCTGTTATAGTATAACTAGCCTTCACACGTACACACACACACATGGAATAGGTGTGCCTCAGTGCCTAACTGCATATGATTGCAAATGGTCATTGTTGTTTTTAAGCAAAGCAACAACTACAGATTTTGCAGAATAAAATGGTACCATATTTTATTTCGTCGCCTTCTCTTCAGCTGCTTACAGGGCGAAAACATTATTAAATGTATCTACAATAACAATTTAACATACTTACACAGAGTTCATTTTAAACATAAATCAATCGATCAATATACACATACACTAATAATATATACATATATGTATATATATGCAATCTTGAACACAATTCCGAGCATTAATAATCATACAAAATGAAAACTTTCCAGTATCTCGCATTAGGATGAAAAATATCCAGTTACCAGGGCAAAGAAGGACTGATAACTGCTTCTTTCTGAACGCACAAATCAGGTTTTAGGCGTTTGATGGAAAAGGCTTCAGCAAACTTAAGGAGCATTGAACTCTTTTGCTTATTGATAATTTTGAATGACTTTTCCACGTCCACCTCATGACCCGTGTCAAGATGCCTGGCGATGGCACTGCCTAAAGCATTTGTTCCCTTTAGACGTAAGCTTTTTGGTACATGTTCAGAAAATCGTAGATATGCTCTTCTTTCTGTTCTTCCAATGTAACTGCTCCCGCAGATGCATGTAAATTTGTATATACAGTTGGAGTTAACATGAGAAGGATATCTATCGATTTTTGATTGCACCAGAGAGAAAGTTGTTCGAAAGACGGGAACGAGCTTAGCTGCAGGATAGGCTATGGCTAGTGATGTACTCAGCCTTCTGTTGATCATCGCTGGAATGTTTTCGCCTTTATAATCAAGCTCAAAGTAGATTGGCTTTTTTCTTACTGTGATTAGTTTTTCATTTGCGACTGCAGATCTTTCATACTTGTTGATAAACCTTTGAGGGTACCCGTTGCTCTTCAAAGTCTTTTCAAGAAACTCAAATTCTTCCTCTAGTTTCTGTGTAGAGCATATTCTTCTCGCTCTATAGTACAAAGTCTTGACCAGTGCTCGTTTATAGCTATTTGGACAAAAGCTATTATAATTTAAGTATTGTCCTTTCCATGTGGACTTACGATAAATTGACTTTTGAAGACTACCCTCTTCTAGGCGTTCCATGGCGATGTCGAGGAAGTGGAACTTCCCGTCACTTTCATGTTCCACAGTGAACTTGATATTGGCGTGTGCATCATTGAATTGTTGTTGTTTTGCTAACAATCTACTCCATTTTTCAGCATTAATGTATTTGTAAGCTGTTTCTTGTCATATTTTAGGTGTTGTATAAGTAGATTTGGTACAGGGTAGAGATTTTCACCCCATATGTATATATATGTGTATGGGTGTGTGAAAGGTGTGTTAAGCTCACTGATTGACAGTTCAGTGTGGAACTTCATCTCATTGGGATCTTTAAGACCCTTTGGAATCATACCATTAAATCCTGCTACTTTTCTACTCTTAGTTTAGAAAGGCAACTTTTCACAATTTCGTCTATATATGATGGTAGACGGTCAGGATCTACTCTCAGCTTAGACTAAGGTTCTATTGATGAGCAACTGTCGTGCAACTATGAACTCGTTCAATTTACTAACCTTCAAGGTTTTTACTGATGATCTGTTTAAAACTTTTGAGCTACCAAACTACTTCATCATTGTATCACTTATAATTCCTTCTGTTCAGGTGTGTCATAATCTATTCAAATATGACGTCTAATGATGTTTTTTCTACTCCTGTGAGTATTTAAAGTTTCCAGTACATTTGAGGAGAAGCAAACTCCTGAGTGGCAACGTATTCCACTACGTGAGAGTTTTCATCCGAACTTTCACTGCCTGAGTGAAATAAGAACTGGTTATGCCAGTAATTTCCTCTGAGAATTCTGTAAATTCTATTAACTCTGTCTAGAATAATAGCGATTATTACGATGAGTAGTATTAGTATTTGGTTCAATATCCTAGTCATCCTATTATGAGAAGTTGTCAGAGTTCTAATTATTTCTGTTATTCCACTAATCGTATATCTTTTCTGTGATCTACCGCCTTAATAAACTTAAGTAATTGACGATAGCTACTATCTTTTTTAATGATGTTTTTCTTGATTCTTTCGTTTTTACCATCTACCAGTGTCTGCTTTATATTTTTTGTGTTTGTGGCAGTTTTTGCCTTTTTTTGTATTCAGAGACTGTGTGTTGGTGTCAGTTTCTTTGAATGGATGGTTCAGTTTTGTTGGAGTTACAGGAAAGACTCACTGGCTTCCGATAACTCATTTGTCTGAAAGTTATTGACTATCTTCACCACTGTTCCTATAGCTTCGGTGGTGCAGCGGTAGAATACTCAGCACGGATACAGAGTTTCGCATATGCCAGTTTACGCCGTCTCTAGCGTAGACATGATATCCGACTATCGACCAAAGGGCGTGTGTACTGCTCAGCAGTCCGCTCCGTCCTCTTTTATCGCTGTGAGACCTGGCCATTGAGAGTGGAAGACATGAAAAGATTAGCTGTCTTCGACCATAGGTGTCTGCGTTCTATCTCCCGTGTGAAGTGGTATAATAAGGTGAGCAATATTGAGGTTAGGCGTCGAGTGCCAGGTAAGGAGGGGAGATCAATCGACGAGGCTGTGAAATTACACCGACCGAGATGGTTAGGACATGTGTTACATATGCCTAGTCATTGCCTGCCTCGACGGACAATATTAGCTGATATAGGGTCAGGTTGGAAAAGAGCTAGCGGCGGTCAAACCAAAACATGACTTAATCAGTTAGTGAAATCCACAACAGTTATTTTAAACCAGCCAGTCACGTAGGATGGTGTGGACTTTCTGTCTGGTTGGGGTCCTCGGGACGGTAAAAACCAATGGTTGGAAACAATAGGTGATATGGCTCAAAATCGTTCTCAATGGCGCCGATGCATCTACTCCTTGTGACTTAAGATTACCAATGATACTACATTGTTCTTCGTTAATACTACTCCTTTGTCTCACACATCTGTTCACTGTCTCAATTATGCATCTCTTCTACTCTCTTCTCTTGCTTTGTGTGCTACATGGAGGGAGTGTGGCGAATTGAACTGCCGCACATCAGTGCAAAGTTCTATGTCGAAAACAGGCAGACAGACAGATAGACAGAATACTTGCCAACCATACATGGCGTTCGGGATTCGATTCCCGACCGACTGACACCTCAACTTCGCTTAGTCGGCAGTAGGCGTGAGGCCGACAGTCTCCTCTTTATCCATAAAAGTGAAGCCACTACTGCTGAAACTTTAAGGCTCATGGTTGAACCCTTATGTTCCAATCGGAACGCACCGGGACAGGATATAGTGCCAAGTTTCTTCAAAATGAATATGATATTTAGTCACCTCCTCTAGAGGGTTTTGCAGCTGTTTATATTCAAAGTCCGTTCACAGTTGCTGGGACATCGATGGTAGGAGTCTAATCAGATGTTCCATCTGTATTCCTCTTTGTCTTTAAGTCAACGGTTACCGAGCGAGCCAGTATCGCTGTTACATCTGAGTTCAGGAAACTAATTTTTACGTCCTTACTGTATGGCTGACCAACGCTTCCTTGAAACATGTTCGCGCAGTCATGCTCCAAATGCTCCAAAGACAGTTCTGTTAGACAGTAATAAAATCAAAAACTCAAAATGACCTCAACACTTCTGTTGAGGCAGCTATATAGTCCAGTATAAGTACAAAACAAGGACTTTGAATCAAGCAGAATATTCCCAAGCGAGGTGGAATCAAAAACTCTATCCACAAGAATCATACGCCAAATGCTTCTCACAGACACTTCAAGGTCAAAGTGACCTTGATATTCGCTCAAACAAAAAATCATATCGTGCTACACATTATCAACAACGTACACACAACCATGAGGAGGAGCTGTCAAGGAACTTAACCCTACGTTCCTATAATTTGCGAAGACGCTCCGAATCGACAATTACTAGGTACGATTATCGACTTTAGCTCCAAAACACAAGGACCAATAAGAAGATGTAATGTTCGGCAGTTAAATTCGTTATCGTACAAAGTCTATAAACAAATGTTTTAAAAGGAATGTACTGTACTTTTATTCGTATTCTTTCGTCTTCTTCCAACTTGTACACGATTGAATCATTCGCACCTTTGAGTTGCCCACCAATGGCGACCAAGGTCAATGAACCAACGTTCAATGTTCACATTCATTTACAGAAGCATTAACATTGGAGGTTAAACAAGGAAAAAGACATATAATGGGAATCAAATCAACTATATATGGTATGCAAATGTCAAGACAATGATGTACAGTCTAGGAGGAGTTAGCATGTTTGCTGGAAACAAGGCGACTATCCGATTAAAATTGTAAAAGATTCATGTTCAGTATTTTCAGTTCTCCAGCGTAGCTTTCCATTGAAACGTCTTCATGCCTTAGCTTCTCAATTTAAGCACCAAAATCGTCTGCTTATATGGCTATATCTGAGTGTTTTACTTGTTACCAAGCATGAAGAGGAAACATTCATGAGCATATTATCAAACGTCAGACTACACCAAACAACTTCTCTTAGGAAAAGACGTTGAATGTGTGATAGATTTACTGACCAAGGTTATGCGTAATATAAGTCTTAGTGATTTTCTTTTTTTCCAGCTTGAAGCTAGTTCTCGTCAACCAACTCCAAATATGTCTTCTGCAACTGTCGCAGCTGCTTCAGCTGTTGCTGCCGCTGAAGCAGGATTTGCTGTAAACACGCAAATTTCACATGTTTCTGGTGCTGGCATTGATTACAATTCACTTCATGATGAAGATACTGCAAGCCCTGAAGACAGTGCTCTTTTTCGTGTCCTAAGAGAGGCTGGTGCTTCAACTCGTCTGTGTGAATTAGTCGGCATACCAACTCAAGCGGCTACAATTGCTGCGGGTAGAGCTGCTGTCGCTGCTTCTGTCGCTGTTGTGAAAGAAGAAGCTCAGGCCAATTTGTTTACAGTTAGTCGACATTCAGTTACCCGGGCTGCAACAACAGCTGTTATCGCTGGAGCTGCATCTTTACCACCTCTTGATCGTGCTGGTCTCACAGAAGCTCTCTGGTTACATATAACTAGTGCAGCGGCAAAAGGTGGAGGTTGGCGTGGACAGATTTGGGGTGGTACTCGACCACTTGATGATCCGTCGGTTATGTTGGCTCGAAATAATGCAGATCTAGTTGAAAAACTGAAGAAAGGTAGGTATTATTTGTTTATTATCTCAGTTTCTGTACTATATAAAGCTGTATCACCAGGTAGTGCTAAGCAGAAATTGATTTGGTTGTTCGATCGGAGCTCGTCCCCAGACGAGTAAAAAGAGCCATTCGGTGTTTTTATATCACCCCGATCTGGCTGGTTAACAAGCACTACTGGTTGATATGTGTGGCATGCAACAAACTACTCATCTCAACCAATCAGTAGTATAAAGTGTCGTGCATGTGTGTGACGTCTTTGTAATTATCTCCTCCCAACTTAAAGATGTGTTGTGTACAGTATACCTTTTCAAAAGTTGATCGTTCCAGATTTGATTGACTACAACTTACTGTGACGGGGAATAGTACTGTGCATATGACCGGGCGTCTTACATAGCCTCTCCTGAGGAAGTCCTACTCACTGCCTTCACGTGGCGAAGGTGTTTTTCACCAAAGTGAGAGGGCGAAAGCGGATGCCCGGGGCTCTTCATCGGGTTGACTGCCCAGTGGATGACAGTCTAGGGGAGATGGCTAAACCCTGATTCCAAACCTCCAAAGACTGGCGTATGAAGCTCACTGGAGCTCACTGGCAGACGTATGGACAGAGGGTTTGTTGGATGTCCTGGATGTCTGGCCCCATTCAAAAAGGCGTATGAACCGAACTCCGGTCACCGGCTGCCAATGGATAGTGGACTCCCTACTCCACTCCTACTGCCTTGTAGGTCACACTTGGTTGTGTAAAGGCTAGAGCTGCACTCTCAAACAAAAGGCCGAGTGATTCTGGGGACATCACTCGTACCAAATTCCCATGAAACTTCATGAACTCTCTTACAAACGACTCTCACCATGATCGCCGCGCCTGGGCAGCGATGATTCGAGATGTTCATGAAGCAGGCTCATCCTCCCGTAGGAGATAGCCGAAGTAAAGTAAGTAAGTATAATTTGTACAGGCGTCTGTAAAGTGAAAGAAGACGTCCTTTTGATATTTTCATGCCTATCTTCTAAGTTTTGGTTTACAGGTAATTTGATTTGAGCGGTTACAGGATTTCATCATGAGCTGATATAGGTTAGAAAACCATTGTGAAACGTAGATGTAGTAGTGTACAGATGTTTCGTCCTAGTTTGGGACGCTGCAAAGTACGCACCCACAGGGGTTTGAATTCTTGTAACTGGAAGGTCCTGGGTTCGAACCCCAGTGTAGTTAGTTTTAGCGTGCGAAACATGACAGCGTTATATAGTGCCAAAAAGGTGACAGAAATATACATTACAATAGCCAAGAAGGGTATTACGTAGGTCAATATTCAAGGAATAGGAATGGTTTGTAGCGATTGGAGTGGTTTAAAGTTTGGATCGTGAGCTGACGGTGGTGCTGTGCATCATGAATTGTCAGAGGTTAGAACTCATAGGTCCCTCCCCAATGGACGATTGCATGGCTAACGGACTTGCCTCCTAACCTGAAGAGGTTCTAAATTGGATTCACTCTGGGATAACAGGTATGCATACAGATGAAGAGACTCAAAGTATGACGAGACAGATGTCCAGTACTCTCTGGTCTTCAGTGATGTAACTTGGAAAAATATTGCCTGTATATTTGCAATTAAATCTACCTTATCAGGACTAAAGATTCAAGACTTTAATTTCTGACGTCATGAGTGATACCCAGAGAGAAAGAGGTAATTGTTTATAATCGAAGAAAGCCATGGAGTATCTACTTAAGTCGCTCACCACTATAAGCAGTGACATGCAATATTAATTGTCACTAAACTTACCGTCAGGGAATCCTGAGTTCGAGTCACTCATTTCAAACCCGCTAATTGGGTAATATAGCATCTACCCACTCCCTACCCCCATACAACAGATGTGGCACTCATAGGATGGGTAATTGAGTTCTAAACTTGAATGGCCCTATATAGTTCATAGACATGGCGTGTCACGAAAAGCATCTATTTCCAACAGGCTATGAGTAGACTTTCACCAACAGCTGCCTTAGCCGGCTCCATACCTGAAGATCAGATGACCAGAAAGGATAAGCACCAAGGAACTCTGGCGGATAAAGAACCTGTTGTCCACCAAATATGCCGAAGGAAGGAAATGGAGATGGATGGGATACACGCCGTGGAGACTGTTGAATAGTGACATGACAACACACGCAGGCTCTTGAATGGCTAACGATGAGTTGGACATGGCATGGAGGAGATAGTGTGAAGAGGAGATGAAAACTTGTGTGTAGCCAATTAGAAAAGACTGCAAAATAACATGATGAAATGGAGATGTGCTGTTGAATCCCTATGTTCCACTGGGAACTCAACGAAATATTAATAATAATAATAATAATAATAATAATAGTAATAGGACTGAGTTCTAACTGACTCTCTGACTCATAGGCATTTAAGAATGATAAACAATAAAAAAATAGTTGTGTTCTGAAGAATATGTTCACGCAGTACAAAGACCTCAGCGATTTCGGTTGGGTAACATTGTAACAACAGAAGACAAGGGCCAGGCAACAGATCGTTTATTAAGGAAATCAAAGCATATTTATATATTTTCATGTAGATTATTATAGATAAGTTAAGCAAACAAACACAGTCTTCTGATTGGTTGTTTCTCACTTAAAGTTAATCTTTCATCTCTTTGTGACTGTTTCTTGAATGTCAGATCATCTATGTGTTAACTGTATCCGCCTACGCGAAGTCTGCTGTGATTGGTTGTTGAATCAGTCTTTGTTCTTGTTCTTGTCTCACTACCAATATTGAGGACGCAAACATTGACGTAAATTACTGTCTACCAATTTGGCTAGCAGCCAGCTCTCACCACAATATTTACTCTCTATACTACAGGATCTTCAAATAGAATAGTAATCGACAGTATTGTTCATTTATGAAGTAGGATCTAGTCTCCTACAATATTTCTGTTTCATTTCGTTCATCAAAATGCACAACAGTAGACTAGTACGTGCTGTGATCTAAAAACATAATAAGAAACAGTGAAAAGTCCGTGTTTTATACATTTATTCTTACTATTGTTCCCTTAGGTGTTCCAAAGGGGAACAGAGGACTTCAAAAGAACATCATTTTGTCCTGTTCTTTGCAGTCCTTTTTAGCTGGCTGCTTCACGAATATCTATAAGCTGTTATCTCCGCTGCACACGATCGTCTCCATGTCACCCTCGAACTCCCAACTCGTTGTTTTCTATTTGCGTTCCACTGGAGAGATAACCTAGCGCGTGATGTCATTCAACGGCGTCTCCAGTGTGTGTGTGTCCCCTATCCACCTCCATTTTCTTTATCATATTTGTTCGTTCCCATAGTTTCTTGCTGCTGATTCTTTCTGACCATCTCACATGTTCACTATGGAGCCGGCGAGGGTGAATGTTGATAAGAGTGTGCTGTAGCTGGTTGTTGATGCTTTGCGTGACGTGTGAGTCAAGTTTCTGACCCATATAGAACTGACTGACATAACATCATTGTTGTGAATTCGAATTTTATTGTTTATGCTGATTGCAGAAAATTTTCAAACTGATTTCAGGGTGATGAAGGTGTGCCCTGGCTTTCCGAATCTGGTTTTGACATCCTTATCTGTTCTATTGTATTTTTTTTGTATTCCTCTACGTTCCCAGTGGAACATAGGGTGCCTTCAAGCTAGAGGCTTGAAGTTTCGGTATCAGTGGTGTTTATTTTTACAGAATGGAGTTGCTAACCTCATACCCAACCTTCCCTCTTTACCAGTCTTATTACTAGCTTAGCGAGGTGAAGGAGTGCGTTGGCGGCAGGGAATCGAAATCCAGACCACCTGGTTGGTCGGTGAGCACTCTACCGCTGTGCTACCGATTCATAAATGTTTGGAGGCTATCGGCAGGAAGCCTTGGACCTAAGTTTTGTGCTATTTGGCACTCACCCGTCAGCAAGGTGTATCTAGAAGCTTGAAGGAACTCATGTCCCTCCTGAAATTCGGACCCGCGTCACCCAGTGCTGCAGTCAGAGACGTTACCACTGAGGAGCTATTCGGGCTCGCAATTGACCTCCTGTAGGACTTTATTGGATATTTTTAAGTGAACACTAATCAGTGACTAGTGTCCAATCAAAAAATATATTGATTTTATTGTTAAACCTTTCCTCTTTTTTATTTTCAGTAACAGTTTATGAATTAACTCCACATGAAAAATTAGTCTTACTCACATGTTTAATGGACGAACTGTTACTTCAACCACAAGTACGTGAACGTTTGGAAGATCAATATGAACGTGTACGTTTATTACGTAATCAGCTGCGTACTATACAATTGGATAGAGCTCAATTAGTGACTTGTAATCCTATTACTGATGAAGATAATAGCAATAGTAATTATAACAATATTAATCAAGAAGTTATGCCACAAATGAAAAAGTTAAATTCTACAAATAATGATGGACGTCCTCATCTTACTACTTCTACTAATACTACAACTACTACTACTGCATCGGTTAACGTTATTAGAGGAGGACGAGTGAACAGGGGAAGAGGTCGTCCATTAAGTCGTAAAAATGTACAAATTGAATCAATGAATACACCTTTAGAAACATTTTTATCAGAGTAAGTCCTTCCATACGTACCTTAATTATTACTTTACGGAAATTAATTACTTACTTGTATTTTGTTGAATACCTAAATAGTCAATTTCTAATCATAAAGTAATGCGTGATGGTTGTGTGATGTCTGACTGGGATGTGCATTTCGTCCTATTCAGGGGACTCTTCATCTGCATGTATCTGTATTCCCCAGTGAATGAGAGTGATGGTGTGTCCCTATTGACACTGTCTAACCCGATACTCATCACCGTCTCAAGCTTCAAAGCGTTATTCACTCGGCTACTTGGGTCACAAAAGTCACCCACCTCTTGTTTTCCCGCTGGTATGCTTGGCCTCTGTTGACACGTTGGCTCGTCGATGTTTACGGAGTATTTAGTGGGTAGTCGGGGAGGGGGAAGGGCTGGACATTCCTGTCCAATCAACCAAATGGGGGGATTAGAATTGAATAAATTAGAATAAATTTCTAATCACATCATTATTTTTAGTTTTCGTCTCTTTTGCTTCTTTGTGTTTCGAGTGGAACATAAAACTGAAGGGTTAGAGCTATCAAGTTTCAGTAGCAGCGTTCCATCTCCTATGTTAAGTGGTATAATAGGGTGAGCAATATTGAGGTTAGGTGCCGGTCGAGTGCCAGGTAGCTTGGAGTGGAAATCAATATACGAGACTGTGAAGTTACATCGACTGAGATGGTTAGGACATGTGTTACGCATGCATGTCTAGCCATCGCCTTCCTCGACGGTCAATGTTAGCTGACATATGGTCAAGCTGGAAAAGATCCAGTGGTGGTCGAACGAAAACATGGCTTCATCAGTTAATGAAATCCACAACAGTTAGTTTGAGCCACGTAGGAAGTTGTAGACTTTCTGCCTCGTTGGGGTCCTCTGGAGGCTAAACGCCAATGGCTGGAGACTGGTGATATGGCTCAAAATCGTTCTCAATGGCTGGTGGAGATGCATCCACTCCTTGTGACTTATAATACCCAATAAAACTATATTGTTCTTCGATATTACTATTCTTTTTGCTTCATATCTCATTTTACTCTCTCTGCTCTTTTTACTTTCTTCTCTTGCTTTGTGTGCTAAGTGAAGTGTGGCGACTGGAACTTCTGCACGTCAGTCAACAACTGCGTTCTAGGAAAAATGAATCAGTTAACACTTCCAGTTATTCCGATTATAAGATTTGTGAGGATTTCGTTCGTTTCATTCTGATTATTCGATTTTCCTCATGAATCGATGATATCAGTTCGTGAGATCATTGAAAACCAAAGAGTAGGAGACAGCTGCTCCTTCCGTCCTATTTTCGGACTTCTCAGCGGTGCGAACCCAAAACCACGCCACCACTAGGGATTTCACTTGTGACCTTGAAAGCTACAAGACTAAGGTTTTTGATCATTCAGCCAGTTAGACAGGGATTCCATAAGCTCTGAATTCTAACGCTTTCAACTCATGTGATCTGACGCTGCTGTCACCCACTGCCTTCGACGAGCATCCACTGATCATAAATTCCCAGTGCAGCAGCAGTTTCAGGATGTCCGCCAAGTAGTCATCAGTGAAGCTGGCTGGTGAATTGATATTCAGATAATAGAATTTATGTAGGGGATTTTAGACTAGTTGTTTCTATTTGTTAGATCTTCCTCACAAACCAGCATCAGTTAGAAGGATCATTGGAAGCTCCCCGCTTCACTCCCCCCAGTGAGCAATTACATTTTTCTTCCTATTTTCTTTCCTTTTTTAGTAATGATTATGCAATGATCAATGGAAGATTGAATAATAGTAACAGTAATAATAATAATCGTCAAGAATTAGATTCAGCTGCCGCTGCCGCTGCTACATCAGCATCCTCTTCTGCATCATTGTCATCATCTATTCCTAATAATATTAGTGAAAAACTCATTGAATCACTGTTGGAAGAGCAAAAGTTATTGGATGCTATTACACAAGTTTCACGTGGCTGTTCAATGATACCTCTTGGACAGGATAGATTTTATAGGTAAAATATTCATTTTGTTTTATTCATCTCTTGTTATCATTTTGGTATACTTTTATTATTATTATTATTATTATTATTATTATTATTTCCTTTAGTTCCTAAAGGAACATACGACTTTAGCCGCACGCCTCCATGGCGTTCGGTTCTCTGCCAACGTTTCCACCTGGCTCCACGTGTGCCCACATGCTTTCATCCCCTTTTCACATGACCTCCTCCTACTGGCGACCAACTCGCCGCTTCCCGTTCGAGTCCCACTCGAGCAATTGCCTGGCGTGTGATGTCACTTGATGGATTGTTTTCTCAGAGTATGACCAATGCAATCCACCTCCATTTCTCCCTGCTTATTTGTTGCACAATGGGTCCCCGCTGGGTTGGTTCGCTCCCAGAGATCGTTGTTGCTAATCTTTTCTGGCCGGCCATCTGATCTTGAGGGGTATTGAGCGAAGACAGCTATTGATCAAGGTGTGCAGTTTGTTTGAGGTGCCCTTCATGACGCACCAAGTCTCTGATCCGTATAGTAGCACTGCTTTCACATTGGAGTTGAAAATACGTATTTTATTTTTCATGCTGAGCGCTGTTGACTTCCACACAGACTTGAGAGAAATGACAGCTCACTTTGATACCCTCGTCAGTTCCCTCCACCTGTAGTTGAAACGATGCTTCCCAGGTAGGTAGGTGAAGGAGGTTGCTTCTTTCAGATTTCTCCCATTTATGCTGATTGTTGTCTGCTGTTGTTGCTGTTGCTGTTGGCCAGGAATCTTCATCACCTACCTCTGTTTCCTCTATGTTCACCTGTAGTCCTATCTTTGATGCTCCTTCTACCAACTTGTTGCTCTTCACTTGCATATCTTCCATTTTGTGTGAAATCAGACATATATCATCAGCGAAGTCCAAATCCTCCAAGTTCTTTTTTGTGTGGGTCTATTTTAAGCCTGTTATTTTATAAATGAGCAAACGTAGTGTATTAATCGAAAAGCGCCTCAAGGTCGTTTCTTTGGCATACTGTATTTAGTAGTAATTGAAGAAGCATAACACTAATGCATTATAATATTTGCACAGTATTCTAAATATCCTCTATCTTATAGTCAGCAATTTGCTTCATCTCTGGCGTAGATCATCCATAGGCTCGTTCTGCTGTGAGGCATGACCATTGAAAGTTGAAGATATGAAAAGGCTTACTCTTTTTTTGACTACATTGTCAAGCGTCATAATGTGGTGAGTAGTGTTAATATTGAGGTTAGGCGTAGAATGTTAGATGTAAGGAAGGCAAACCGATCGATGAAGCTGTTGTGAAGAGTTATTTTGAGTGAGCTGGCTAGAAAGCGTGGTGTGCATGCCAAACCATCGTCTTCCTCAATGGGCGGTGTTAGCTAACATTAAAGACTTACAGGCAGGTAGTCGAAAACCAACAAATTGGAAGAAGAAGCAGAAACGGCCAGCGAAAACCAGAGACTTCATGGGAACATAGGAAAGGTTGAGGTGATGAAGATAACCAAAAATCACTAGCATCGGTAAAGTATTGGGGTCATTTCTTTCACTTATCTCACCAAACAGAATTGCTCTAACTACAGGCGTCATGGATGAAGATGTGTGAAAGCTAGATAGGATCGGATTGTCAAGACAGAGAGAGACACCTTCATCACTCTGAAATTAGTTTGGAAGTCTTCTACACTGCACTCAGCAATATAAACGAAATTTGAATTTTCAACACCAGTGTTAAGTTATTTCCTCTATAGTGTGTGGGTCTGAGACTTGATGTGTCAAGAAAAGTATTTGCAACAGGCTACTGAACACTTTCATCAACACCTCCTTTCTCTGGTTCCATACTAGAAAGGAGATGACTAGAAAGAAGTAACAGCAAGAAACTCTGGCAAGTAACAAACCAACCAACAAAAATCGTGAAGCATCAACGGACACTTGTTCATGAGACCATTGAATGACGTTGCGTTGAATGCGGGCCCGTCGGTCGAGTGGAACTCGAATAGGAAGTGGCGAGTTGGGTGTGGGTCTGAAGGTGATATGTAGGAGATTGTGTAATGAAGAGATGAGAACCAGATAAAGAGGAATGTAGAGAACAGAATGAGATGCTCAGGGAGGCTTCGTCTGCTTTTGGAAGTGTGTGGGCGGTTTTTACTTCCCGGCTGCCCACACCGTGGAAGTTGGTTGATTCTTCAGGTACCTGAAATAGAAAGAGGGTTAGTGTTGCGTGACCGCAGAGCCTAGGGGACAACTGCTTGATGTTGGCCGATCACACATGGCCTGTATCAACTGGTTTCTTGGTTTGGTTCCGTATTAGTAAACTTACCGCCGGTTACGGACCACTGTAGGGTAAGTCGACCTTTTCCAACCCCTTCTCTCCGGATTGGAGAGACAACATAGGTGGCTGGCATGCTGGTCATCTGAGGGAAACACCTCACTGCTGTTACATCCCTGTTCCCCAGCAGTACGACTTCGACCACAGACCCCCCAGTCTAGTGTAAAAACAAAATTCTTGCACATTACTGGTAACTACTTTTAGTCTAATCGCTATCCTAACAACCTTCCTGGCATGGTAGGACCTGCAGGAACAATAGTTCAAGTCAGTGTAGCTTGTTGGGGGGTCATTGCAATGTGCAAGCCCGACCATCACTTCGGTCGGGACTGTAGAGAACTGAACAAAAAGATGTGCGCTGTTGAATCCACCTGTATGTTTCACTCGGAACTCAATAGTAATTGTGAACACAGTTTGAGCAGCCAAAAATTACGCCACACCAAGACAATATATGAGAAGGAAGTGGTATGACTGATTATAGCTTCATGAAAACAGAAGCACTTAATTATCATTCATCGCTGTATGTTATTATTATTAGAAGGAGAGGAAATGAGGAAACAGGAATATGATATGCCACTGGTCTTAATTCTTCTTAGCCATATCTGGTAATATATTGAGTCGTTTTGGTGTGGTTGTGTTCTCTGAGCTGGATGGTTTGGTTGCGAAGCTTTCATTGCTCTACTGAGCAACATCTTCAGCGCATACTTCGATGTGAAGTGAGCTTTTAGAATTCTCTATGAGTTTATTAGTCATCTCTTCTAGTAACCTTGAACGTGATTGGTTGTTTTCGTGTGACATTTCATCCCCTAGTTTGCTTGTCTCGGTGCTGGCTGCTTCTTTGGTCTGAATGTCGTTAGTCATTCCTTCTGCTAACCTTGAACGTGATTGGTTGTTTTTGTGTGACTTCTCACTTTCTAGTTCACTTGTTTTGGTGTTGACTGTTTCCTTGACCTGAAGTTTGACTTTGTTTTTGTGTGAATTTCTTCGTATGGATTGGTATATTTTGTCAATCTCTATGTGTCTATTGATTGCTGATTCATTTGAATACCAGGCCTCTAGGAATTCTCTGGCATTTTTGCAGTTCCCTTTGTCTAAGATTTGAACATTGTCCCAGTCGAATTGGTGCCCGTGGTTGTCTGCATGTAGTGATATGAGGGAGTGTATGTCGTGTCTTTTGACAGCTAGTTTGTGTTCGTGAATGCGAAGACGAAGAGGGCGTCCACTTTGACCAATGTAATGTTTGTCGCAGTCGTTGCAATTTATCTTGACTATTCAAACCTTTTGGAATCGATGTCGCTCATAAACCAACAAAGTCACTACACTCAGTTCTATGTAAGCCAAAGGACTCAACGGCAAAAGAAGACAAAACTAACGTCATCTACAAGATAAATTGCAACGACTGCGACAAACATTACATTGGTCAAAGTGGACGCCCTCTTCGTCTTCGTATTCACGAACACAAACTAGCTGTCAAAAGACACGACATACACTCCCTCATATCACTACATGCAGACAACCACGGGCACCAATTCGACTGGGACAATGTTCAAATCTTAGACAAAGGGAACTGCAAAAATGCCAGAGAATTCCTAGAGGCCTGGTATTCAAATGAATCAGCAATCAATAGACACATAGAGATTGACAAAATATACCAATCCATACGAAGAAATTCACACAAAAACAAAGTCAAACTTCAGGTCAAGGAAACAGTCAACACCAAAACAAGTGAACTAGAAAGTGAGAAGTCACACAAAAACAACCAATCACGTTCAAGGTTAGCAGAAGGAATGACTAACGACATTCAGACCAAAGAAGCAGCCAGCACCGAGACAAGCAAACTAGGGGATGAAATGTCACACGAAAACAACCAATCACGTTCAAGGTTACTAGAAGAGATGACTAATAAACTCATAGAGAATTCTAAAAGCTCACTTCACATCGAAGTATGCGCTGAAGATGTTGCTCAGTAGAGCAATGAAAGCTTCGCAACCAAACCATCCAGCTCAGAGAACACAACCACACCAAAATCATCCACCTGAGCTACAAATCTTCTCTATTATATTGAGTCGTTTGCATCGCTTGAACACCGTTATTCAAGGGATGCTCATCTAACTCAACCGTCCTTCATCCGACAGGCGCCACAGAGTATCATACTGTGTAAGTAATTGTATGCTTGCACTTGCGCTTATTGAAATATGTAAGCTTTGACTTCTTACGAAATATATCTATCAATATGTTTTATTATTTATTGAATCTCATTATATATACATATATTCCTCTAATACTAATTATATCCTCATTCCACTTTACAGACAATATTGGCTAGTCCTATCAATCCCATGTATCCTAATCGAAGATTGTCCATGTGTAGATAAAAATCCCTACTATACACATGCTACAATTCGTAATCGCCAAATTACCTACGCCTTTCCTGACCTTGCTAAAAGAATGGGACTGTACAGCTCTGAAGAGGCTGGCAAGCATTTACGTGAGGCAATCAATTCTGTTAAAGACGGTGAATTCATAGATAGAGAAGAATTAACCTATCGTGTTGTAGCAGCACTACCAAATCCACCGGCTGCCTCTTCGACAACCAGTTTACCAATTGAACAGTTAAGAGCTTTAGTTAAACCGGTAAGTGTTTGTATGCATGTATGCATGTTTGTATGTATGTGTGAGTGGGTGTGTGCCAAGCGTTAGTTTGTAGGATAATTTCATTGATATCATTGAAAAGTGTCAAGGAGTGCTGGATAGCTCTTTCGTCCTACTACCTGGGATTGACACTCTTCATGACTCATGACGCCTGTCTGGGGTCGAACCCAAGGCTTTCAGGGTACAACATGAACTGGTGTAGTATTTAGCCTTCAGGATTTTCACCCCTCCTCCCCTTTCAGCTAATGTCATCGGCGAATATTTCTCCTCAAACTTGTGACTTTGTGACCCCCACTGGTCACGATTTCTCATTAGAACTCTAGACAATTTCTTCCTGTAGCCAGCCCATCACTAGTGTGCATCAGATCACCTATATTTTATGTCATTTTGATTATTGAGTTAGTTTAGTAGGAACTCAAATACCCACACCCACCAAAATTTTCATCTATATGAGGCTATGAATGCACACCTATATTACATAACGGTTATTAGCGATATGACTATCTTGTCACCCAGTGTGTGATTTGCTGTAATATTTGACTAGGATTCAAACCTAAGAACTTACTAACCTAGAAAGTCGAGTATTAAATCGCCTCCTGAAAGCTGTTTTATTTGTAGAACATGATCAAAATGCAAAAAGTGTACAATGTAACGATCATACTGAGGTTAGGCGTTGAGTGCTAGGTAAATAGGGGAAATCAATAGGTGAGGCTGTGAAGCTACATCGACTGAGATGTTTAGGACATGTGTTACGTATGTCTAGTCGTCGCCTTTCTCGACGGTAAATGTTAGCTGACATAGGGTCGATGAGGCTGGAAAAGAGCTAGCGGCGGTCAAACCAAGACGTGACACTAGTCAATGAAATCCACAACAGTTAGTTTAAAGTCGGCCACGTAGGAAGGTGTAGACTTCCTGTCTTCCTGCCAAATGTAAGATGTTACAGGATTGGACTACACCGACTCCTAGATTAGAAGTAGGAAGTGAAGTAGTAGAGCACGTTGACCGCTTCACTTACTTGGGAATTACCATCAGCCCCAACGGGTTGATCTCCGACGAATTCTCAGCACGGATACAGAGGGATAGTTACGCATATGCCAGTTTACGCCGTCTCTGGCGTAGACGTGATATCCGACTATCGACCAAAGGGCGTGTGTACTGCTCAGCAGTCCGCTCCGTCCTCCTTTATAGCTGGCTGTGAGACCTGGCCGTTGAGAGCAGAAGACATGAAAAGATTATCTGTCTTAGATCATAGGTGTCTGCGTTCTATCTCCCGCGTGAAGTGGTATAATAAGGTGATCAATACTGAGGTTAGGCGTCGAGTGCTAGGTAAGGAGGGGAAATCAATCGACGAGGCTGTGAAATTACATCGATTGAGTGAGATGGTTAGGACATGCGTTACGTATGCCTAGTCATCGCCTTCCTCGACCGAAGGGCAATGTTAGCTGATATAGGGTCAAGCTGGAAAAGATCCAGTAGTGGTCACACGAAAACATGCCTTTATCAGTCAATGAAATCCACAACAGTTAGTTTAAGCCACATAGGAAGGTGCAGACTTCCTGTGTCGTTGGAGTCCTCGGAATGGTAGAAACCTATGGCTGGAGACAATTGGTGATATGGCTCAAAATCCTCGTTGTAAGTGGCTGTCGCAGATGCATCTACTCCTTGTGATTTATAATACCCAATAAAAACTATATTGTTCTTCGATATTACTATTCTTCTTGTCTGATATCTCTGTTTACTGCCTATGTATCGCATTTCCTTTAACTTTCTTCTTCTCTTGCTTTGTGTGCTACATGGAGTGTGGCGATTGGAACTGCTGCACATCGGTGCAAAGTTCTATGTTAGAAATAGACAGGCAGACAACGATCATACAAAAATCTTGATAGTTTTTTAAAGCTTGGTATTATGAACATTTCAGTGTTTTAAAATAATGTTTCATTTCGTTCAAATTATCCACAAAAACAAACACAACCTTTTCAAATTTATTCTTATCACCCCCTAATTCTAGGAACGTGTCAGTACACAGGATTCATCATTGCATAATGCATGTCCTGCAGTTAGACAATTAGCTAAATTACGCTGTTCCACTGTGAAACAATCAACACCTCAAACTGTTTGGTCAATTCTCCTACCTGATGGATATAAAGAATTGTATAAGCACAAGTTATTGCGTAATAATAATAATGATAATATAAAGAAAGAACAACAGACGGTTAATCCTATTTCATCAAGTGTTGAGGAGTCTACTTTACCGTCTACGGTGGATTGTTCTTTGTCTGCTACAACATCTGGGAATAAGTCAGAAGATTGCCCTCCTCCTCCTCCCCCTACTACTACTACTACCACTACTGATTCCAGTGAATCGGAGAGTAAAGAACAAACTTCTACTTCTAGTAATGATAATTTGTCAACTGAAAAAAATCAATATGATATGATGATTGAACAAGCTAAATGGACTATCGATTGCTTAGAGGCATCATTAAATCCTCGTGGAGTTCGTGAATCCCGTTTACGTAAAACTATTGGACAGTTAAGACCATTACTTATCAAAGTGATTGCTATGTGCCCACCTGAATTGATATATCCAATGATAAAAAGTAACCAATCAGGATTCAATGAAAAGGTAATCATTTTGGTGTATCATAATTTTTACTGGGTTCCTTGTATTCCGAGGGGAACATAGGGATTCAACATCACACTAGCATTTTGTTCTGTTCTCTATATTTCCTTTTAGTTGTCCCCTACGATGTGAGGCCGGGTCAACTAATTTGTATATTGCTGGGTTTTTATGCTCGACTAGTCTGACTGCCCCTGTTCTGCCACTCTGACCTATGTATTTGACCTGACAATCATTGCAGCTGGGTATTAGATAAACTAAATTGCTTTGTTTCAAAGGCTCCACAGGATGATCGTTTAACCGACAAAGCTTGTTTTTCATTGAGTTTGTGTGTGATACATCTAATAAACAAACTCATATGGAATTACTTACTGCCACAGTGCCCAAGTCTTACGCATATATTAATAAGTCAGTTACTATTTTATTTAAAGATACTGAACGAATAGAAAATATTATACGATAAACTCTACTAAAAATTTTGTAGAATATATATATATATATATATGCTGTCCAGAAAATAAAGCTTTTATTATTATTATTTATTATTATTATTATTAATCCAGTTATACTTTTCTGAACTTTTAAACCTTTTAGGCATCAATGGATGCACCTCAAAAACCACCTGTTCCTACTGATAACATTAGTGCTAATAATACTGTTTCTCAAGAAAAGTTTTGCTCTGCACAGAATACTGAATCAACTGCTCAGGCAATTATGTGTTCATGGTTAGAAACAGCTCTTGTTGGCATTGGATATCGTTTAGGTCGATTAGATTTGATAAAACGCCTACTATTCGATGAATCGTGTAAATCTAAAAAGGAATCAATTGAGAATAAAACTGAAACTGAACAGAGTGATGAACAATTGTGTACAGAAGTCTCAGTAGACAAGTATGTGTATGCTAACCTTTTTTATGTTTTGTTCTTTTGGTATAAAGTTAGCATGTTACTTAAGTGTTTGTAAGTAGTGTAAGTCGGAATTGCAAAATTTCACTCTTATTTCTTATATTTAACATTTTCCTTGCTATTAGTATCGTGTGCTTTCTAAAGAGTGTATTATTTGTGTAAAAGAAAGTAGCAGAAAGTATCATACAGTAAACATTCTAGTAATAATTAAATGAGAAAATGAATAGAGAAATAAGATATTCGTCTTATTGATGCTGACTGACTGGTTTCAACGTGGAAGATGTACAGCAGTTCAATCTGTCACACCGCGCATGTATCACACAAAGAAAGACAAGTGACAGAGAGAGAGAAAGTGATTCAAAAGAAGGATAACCAACAGAAATGGTATGGGTAACACACATGTTCTAGTCATCTCAATCGATATAGTTGCACAACTTCATCAATTAACCTTCCCTCCCTACCTTAACACTCGATGGACTAAACCCCAATATTACTCACCCTATTATACTATCTAACACAGAAAATAGAACACAGACATTTAGAATCAAAGATAGCTTGCCTTTTTCATATCTTCCACTTTCAATCACCATGTGTCACAGTAATTGTAAAGAAGGACACAACGAACTGCTGCTGCTATGCAGTACACACGTCCTTTAATGGATAGTCGGATATCCCATCTACGTTGTAGATGACGTAAATTGGTAAATGTCACGGCTTTTATGAAGGCAGTTTAACAGGTTTTAAATTCAATTCTGGATGTATTTAGTGGGCATTGTCATTCACTGATTATCGAATTAGTTTTATGATATACACTATTGGATTCTGGCCCCCACGACTAATCATATCATTATTAGTTCACAATATGAAGTCATAATTCTGCTACTTTTTATCCTACGGATAGTTTTGGAGTGCAACTTTCATCTAGTTGATTAACTAGAGTTTATCTGTAAGCATTTGTCTCGTTTTAAATGGCTGAATGAATGGTCAACAAGCTTATCTTTTTAACCGAATGTCCTTGGTTCGAGTCCTGGTGCATGTATACTGTTGTTAAAGATTCTGTTACAAGTAGTAGGACGGAAAATCAATCAATCCAAATACTACAGAAACTTTGGAACAACAAAAATATTTTTAAAAAAAAACCTACTGCAGCGTTAAAATAATTAAGAAAGAGTCCATTTTTAGAAATTTCTGAAATTGTATAATTCCTTTTTCATGAGTTCTTAAGCTTCTAGGGAATGTACTTCTTTCTCTTTGAGACTTTTGAGAATGTCTGTCTACATATGATGTGGTGTTCATTACCTTAGTGAAAATTATAATCCATAGCCCATTTATGGACTGCTGTGACTGTGCAGCATCATAAACTTACTAGAGTTCTTGTGAAAAGTCGTGACCTGTGGACTTCATCACGTTGAATATGACAACAGACAGTCACTCTATGACATTAGGAATGGTGATGCTTTACGGCAACTTCATAGAAGTTAGAAGTAGCATATATTTAGAGAGAAAAATATGGTACCATTTTGGGCTGGCGTCGTGATAATGCCCCATTGATGAACAGGCAAATGTTAAAAGCCTAAGTTTTGTTATGCCTCTTCATGTCTTACCTGGAATTTATATCTTTACTATTCTGTCATGTAGTGTTTTCAAGTGGCTTAGTGGTCTACAGGCTCGCCATGTAGCCAGAAGTTCGTGAGGTCGTGTCTCGGTGGGTGCGTACCGTTGACGAGTCCCAAGCACTGGGACAAAATAGTTGTCCAGTACTCCCTGCAGGTTTTCCAATGGCTCTCTAACTGATATCAGCTTATGTGTCTTGTTTGTATAATATAGAGTTATTTATTAAGAGGGGTTATTTTTGGAGTGAATTTATGTACATCTTTATATAATAAAACTTCTCTCTTGCATATATTTCATACTATATGTGTGTAGACCTAATGATGAGAAAGAGAATGCAGCTGTCGCCTCTACAACAGCTGAAGATTGTGCCACTGCTACTACTACTTCTACAACTGCTGCTGCTGCTGTTGACATTCCTGTTAAGCCTTCTGAATTAACAACATCCTCATCGAGCAAATCTGTCGGCGAAAATATAAAACGTCTCGCAAAAATACTCCTTCATCTAGGCCATGATGTTAGTCCAAAAGGAATTGCAGGACCGTTGGGTGAGTTTCTTAAGTTATTATCATTATTATTATTATTGTTATTGTCTAAAAAGTGTAATAAACTTTACAAACCACCACGATTGAAAAATTAGGCTGCTTCTCACTAACGTGACAGACTGACTAAAGGATAACGTTGCCTGAATTTCTCGTATGTGGAAAGTCGTGACCAGCGCGGAGGTAAGGGGTGGGGTTGAGTGTTCCAAGTTGACATTGGCTGACGCTGGCAATATCTATACATCACGAATTGGTGGAACTTTGAATTAATGAGCTGGTCATCGGATTCTATCCCAGTAGCTGGAATAGTCATTGAGCTTGTCTAGTAATCTAAAGGTCCTAGGTTCGATCCATGGATATAGGATCATGTGTGCTGTTCAGTGTACTTCCTGGTTTTCAGTGGTTCTCTTACTGAAGTCAGTTTTGTTATCAATTCCTTGAAAACCAACACTTGAAAGTTGGGCAACTATTTGCTGCTCACAGCGTGTTTGAACAACTCGTGTGTGTGTGTGAGAATGTCTGACTTGTGCCTACTGTTCAAATGAATAAATGTTCCCACTCTTAAAATTCAAACAAAGTATGTTAATATTAGTTGGTCAATATCATCAACCTGTCTGAGCGTTGGTAATTCAGCGGTAGGAGAATGCTCACCAACCACGCCGTGGTTTGGTGTTTGATCCTCGACTGACACATTCCTAAAATAAGAAAACCTCGCTTAGTCTGTAGTGTAAGTCTGATAAAGAGGAAAGGTTGGATATGAGACTAGTGGACTCACCCGCTAAAAAGGAGTCATATTACTGCTACTGAAGCTTAAAAGCTTGGAGCTCCGTTTTCCATCCGAAATGCGAAGAGTAGAGACAGACAGTATTGACTTGTCAGGTGGGACGGGGGGAGTGATAGTTAATCCAGAAAATTATGCAACAATTAAAGGGTAGAAATAATTGCCAGAATTAAACAAGTGGTGTACAGCAGTGTATAATATTTTGGGAGAAGAAACGTAATTATGAGATTTCGAATTGATTACGTAATAGGACGTTGGAGATGAAGTAGTCATAATAACGAGAACCTCAGGATGATGGCTTAGAGTTTGGGGGGAGGAGAGGGAGGAGGAAATTGTCAGTTGTTTTGTTGATTCATCTAATGATGGTCAATTTCTTCTGAACGCACAAGTTTGGCTTCTTTGTCAGGTTAATTCCAATGCCGTCAGTTGTGTGTATGTAGAGGAGGTGAACTCGTGAAGTAACATATATATTATGTATTATACTGCGATAGATAACTGTAAGTTCTGTTTGAAACATCAACTGTATACCAAGTATATGAATCGGAAACATTCTGAAGAGACCATCTAGTGACATCCCGTGACAGACCCACGAGTGAAACCCGAGTAAGCAACAACAAGTTGGACATGTTTCCGGAGCTGGCATACTGGAGATTAGAGTCTATGGGCCATCGTGGGGCCCAGTGAAGAGGAATTCAGAGAACATGACAAAATGGAGATGTGCTGTTGAATCCCTGTGTTCTCCGTGAAACTTAAGCACTGCTAGAAGAGAAAACTACAAATGCTTCTTGTGTTTGTCCTTTGCACTTAAGGATTCAGAATTCATCAGAAATCCGATGATGTATATGCCTAGTTGTTGTGAAAATGGGGGGGGGGAATTCAATAAATTCAATTAGTTACAGGATTTCATCCTGAGCTGAAATCGGTTAGAGAAGCATTTAAAAACCTACAAGGAGTACTGAACAACTGTTTCGTCCCAGTTTGGGACTCTTCATCAGTATATATATATTCATTATCTCACTTGACAACGTATTCTGAATTAATTTTCATGTGTCTGCCTGTGCCTTTTTCCTACAGCGAATGATGAAAGAACTCTACGTGGTGGAGGACCTCTGACTAGCATTCCAAGTAAACAATCCAATGATGTAGAAAATACAGTTTCAGAAATAATTCCATCATCTGAAACTACTTCTACGACTACTGATCAGTCTACTGTAACTTCTTCTAATGCTACAAATAATATTCAATCAATAAGAACTACAGGTTGGCAAAGATGGTGTGCTAGTGTGGAACAAGCGAATACAACTTCTCAATTGCATTTATTAGCACGTGCTCTTGAACGTGGAGCTCGTCGAGCAACTCTCGGTGGGCGAGGTGTTTCATCAGCTATCGCCAGTTATGTTTCACAACATCCTTTGCCAACTTTAAGGTGTACTTCATGTCGGTAAGTAGTTGTTCTTCTTGAAACTTTCAATTCTTTAACTTTGGTTTTGAGATTTGGTGTGTGTATAGTAGCAGGAAGAAATAAAGATGGATCCTGGATAGGCTCTGGGAGGAGAGCTTCAAGGGATAGATTATCTAAATAAAAAGCGACGAGTTGGACATGGGTCCTAAGTTGTTGACATGGAGAAAATTTGGTCAAGAGATATTGAAGGCTTGTTGTCTTCCATGGAGGCAGCTGAACTCTAATGCAGCAGAAATGTGCCTCTGCGGTTCCTTATGTTCCACTTGAAACGCAGAGCACGAACAATAATCACAAATAATCTGATATGGTGATATTTAGTTTCTTACTGGCCGATTGATCCACTAGTTCCAAGCGTTACCTCTGCCTATCTAAGGCTTGCACAATAATACCTTATCACATAATCCTTTATATATAGGGAAACCAGTCCTTGTAGTATGAGTATGTATTTTGTTGAGTTGTATCACTAGAAGCGATTTATAAAGTCTGTGATTATTGATTTTTGATGTTTATTGGAGCGTTTGATCTACTGCCTAGCGTTGATAACATAAATGTTATCGATTATTATTATTATCACACTCTCTTGGGTTCCAATTGGAACACCGAGCTTCAGCAACACATCTCCAGTTTATTCTCTTCTCTGCAGTCCTCTTTTTTCAGACCCCATGATTGCCCATAGACTTTCATCTATTCCGCCTCACACGATCTACTTCATCTCAGCGTTGGACACATGCCCAAATCATCGTTTCCTATTCGCACCCCTCTCAATCGATGGCCAGCGGTCTCTTCATCAGTATGTCCCCGATCCATCTCCATTTTCTTCGGCGTATATGTTGAGCGATAAGTTCTTGATTAGTTCGTTCCCAGAATTTCTTGTCGCTAATTTTTTCTGGCCAGCCAACAGTGAAGGTGGCAGCTGTTGATAAAAGTCGACAGTAGGCTGTTGAAAATGTTTTTGATGACTCCTTCGCCAAGTTTCCGACCCATATAGAAGAACTGTCTGACCTAACATTTGTGTTGAAAATCTGAATTTTGTTGTTTGTGCTGGTTTCATAGTAATGAAGGTCTATACTGCCTTTCCGATTCTGGCTGGCTTTGTTATTCTCATCCATCCTTGTTCACCTGTAGTTGAAAGGATGCGGCCTGGTGAAATAAGTGGAAGCAGTGTCCTCTTCCAAATTTCTCCTGTTGATAGTGAAGTTTTTATAGTGACTGGATTGATTTTCCGGGGGTAGGGTTGCTGACCTCACTTTCAACACCTTCCCACTTTTCCTAGGCTTTAGGGACCGTCTAGAAAACTAGGGAACTAGTTAACTGGGCGAGTTTTGAAAGAATCTGTGTGATAAATAAAAATGTGCGAGGCAAAATAAGCAAATAAATGAATGAATGAAGAATAGTCAACTTTCAATGGATTCAGGAGATCATAAGGTATGATTGCACGTGCGCTATTCTGAACGATTTTGAGCCATTATGATTGCCAGCCATCCTGGAACACCGACTAGACGATGGTCTACACCTCCCTGAGTGGCTCATACCAATCAATGGTCAGAAACTATATGGGTTGATGCTCTGCTTCCGTCTCACCGTCCCAAACTCTTTTCCAACGTATTCTCCTGTGTCAGCCAACACTCCTTTAACACACATTTTGAACTTAAAGCTCATACATTGGTCAGTGTTTCATCTTGCGATTCACGAGCCAATTAATCACCTGAAACGCATTGACTCTGGCGGAGGCCGGGTTTATTCACACTCCATACAATCTAACAACATACAGATGCACTTCATACCTCCTGGAACAATTCGAGCCTGACAATGTCGGGGGCCGTTCATAGGACCGTATCCCACGACTTTTTTATTCAACAGCTGCGGATATTTATGGCAAACGACAGGCCGTGCGTCAACACGTCATGCTCTAACAAATTCAATCGATTTCAGTGTGTTAGGTAAGGAGAAAAAGTTATTTGATGAGGTAGTGAACCTATATCAATTGAGATTTTTGATTCGTGAAATATACCCATTAAGACATTGAAATAAGAACAAATTAGTTCAGCGAAGAATCTCTTTTCGGCGAATTCATTCACTTAGCTGTACAGTCGCAAATATATACAATTAATTTTTTTTGTGTGTGTGTACATTAGGTTTGTCAAAATCAAAATAACAGTTAGTGTGGGTTGTTGATTACATCATCAAAATAATAAAGAAATTAAAATGTGTGATTAATAATCAAACCTGTAACTAAGTGGGGTGAAGATTGGTAAGATGTAAGTAGGGTTACGTAATATAGACATGTTTAGAAAGATTAGATGCTAGTGGAGGAGTATGGAGACAATTATGGAGATAAACTGTATAATAGATGAAAAGATTGAATGGGTTAGTTACTAAAAATTATTATACGAAGATTGCAAAAAAAAACTTGATAACAAAATGTTGGTGACAGATAAACTTGAAATTAAACCCACGGTAGTAGGAGGGGGTGGAGAAGTTTCTTCTGTATGCATTTTTGAGACATGTGTCACACTTTCCTAGCCATCTCCTTCCTCGATGAGCATTATTAGGATGATCAGGTCCGAAAAGAGCTAGTGGAGGTGATCAAGTCAAAACTTGGAATCAGCCCATGAAATCTTTGACAGTTAGACTGAGTCAGCCATGTAGGATGGGTATAGGCTTCCTGCATGAGATTGTTAGAATTCTAAAAACCCTTAATTTGAGACTATCGATGCTACATAGCTTGAAATCTCCTTGTCAATGGTGCAGATGTATGATATCCAATAAAATTGTATGGTTCTTTCATATTATTATTATTCTTTTTGCCTCACATTTCTGTTTATTATCTCCCTCTCTCTTTTGAACTTCTCCTTCTTTGTGTACTACATGGAGGGTGGTGACTCAGACTGCTGCGCTTTTGAGCGAATTTCGATGTTAGTACCCGTGTGAGTCAGTCACAATCTTATCGACCAACTATCTAGAACATTACATCCATCTTCCCTATTAGTGACTGTATTGTGTCATCTAACACGAGTGGTTGTAACACAGGCACTTGTAATTACAGTGCAACAACCCCACACTAATTCAAATTGACTTAACTAGATTATCTGCGTTTTCTTAAGTGCTGTTCTTAACAATACCTGTGTAGCAGCAATTGTTAGTGAGTAATTTGATTATGTTTTTCATATTGTATTCATTAAATTAATCATTTTGTAAAAAACAACAAAACAATTTTATGTTTTTATGGTTTCCCTCTCCCCCCCCCTACATTATATCCATATATAGAGGTCCACCTGATGTTCTTCCTGTATCTACTGCCCCTGGAAATATATCTGCATTTTCTGTTTGCTCTGGTTGTGCATGTCCATACCACTTAGATTGTCTTCTAAATTCTAATAGTCGAAGAATCAGTGCCCGAAGATCTTCACGGCCTAGATTGTCAACTGATATTACAATTATGAGCACAAATAATCCCGCCTTCAACAATATTGATTTATCTTTAACTGGCTTCCTTAGTAATTATTCCTCACTGTCGAGTATAACATCAGCTCGTATGGAAGTGACAGGTGGTAGTCTTATCCTGTGTACATATTGTCTTCGTTCAGCTGGTCTCCTGTCGTCATCAACTGCAACAACAACAACAGCGACAACACCAACATTAACGGAGGATCATGTTGAAATAAAAAGTTCAAATAGTCAAGCATTTCAATTATCTACTACATTAGTGTATTCAAATGATGATTTTTGTATTAAAGAGGATATTTCACAGGTAAGTGTTCATTGGTTTCACTTTTGATTCTGTTGTTGATTGATTGACTGATTGATTCAGTCGAAATGTTCGACTTCAATTGTGACATGTCAGCAGCGCCTAGTACACGAACACTTTGGCCTTGACGAGGTTTGATTTATTTAACTTGAATTAATTTGTTGAGTGGGATCCAGGGGATGCATATTTCGTTATATTTGGGACTACTCGTCGTCAGCCAGTAGATAGATGTACGTCGGTGGCACTGCACTGCGGTTAGGACTCTCGCCGAGCATGCACACGGTCCGGGGTTCGATCCCCATGCCGACGCACATTCGATATCAATCGTCGGCCTGAAAAATTTGGACTACCGATATCACATGCTGAAAATTCCATACCTGTACCAAAAGTACTGTGTTGAATCAAGCTACAAATGAAAATTTTTGGATAACTAATTCCTGAGACAATGGGTGATGGTGTTCTCACTTTGACTCGAACCCAGTAGTACCACTGATTGTCACCCCCATGGCTCATCTACATGCTGCATTGTTGTTAGATATCTTAATCGGTTACTAATTGTTCTGTTAACAAAAAGAGTGTCATAAAACCATGGCATTTGTTTCAGCAGAGATGAGATCAGTTTTGGCGCTTAAGAAGTCGACTTTTAGTTCTATATCGATTTTAGGTTCGAATCTGGCTTTCCTCACTTACTTCAGCCGGGATAACTAACTAGGTATTGGAATCCAATGCCTCATACCGATAAGTGTGATTTGTAGCCTGGTGTGTGAGCTGAATACACCAAGCAGAAATAGAACTGAACACCTCACGTCTCCCTAACAAAACTCTAAGTCGTCTACAAACGATTTTGTAACCTCGTGCTCATAGCACAATTAGATATAGTATTGCGACCCTTACACCCCGAATCCGCAGCATATTTTATGGTCATCGCTCTAGCGTAACATTTGCAATGTACTGGGCCTGGTTGGCCACCAAAAGGAATGCGTAAGGTTGCCCAGCCACGTGTCGGATGTACCGTTGTAATTCTTCAGATGACAGCTTCGCACTCATTTTCCTGTCTACCTTTGTGTGCTCTTTGGAACGTGGCAACTCGAACTGCTGCACTTCGGTGCCAAGTTCTATGTTGAATCCAGCAGCAGCTTCGCACCGCTGGCCTTTCGACCAGGAACATATACCAATTATCTGAGCCTGCTGTTCCTCTAGAATTAAACAGGATTACCACTGATTATTCTACTCATTAGTAGGGTAAAACCAACCTGTCTCACGATAGTCTAAACCCCTAACTTACATTCCCTATTTGTGGGTGAACAGTCCAACACTTGATGAATTCTGCAACACACAGTGATTGGAAAAGTTGGCGTTGAAGGATCAGAAAGCGACGTTGGTATGCTCGTTTGACCATCACAAGCCAATGTATCCATGTGGGGGTCATGCTTTCACGGTTGTCTGCATTGCTACTAATGGGTATTTTGTAAATAAGCGAATTCGATTTAAATGTTGTATCAGATCAGTTCATGCGATAGTAGAGCTGATCCGAATTCATCTGATTCGATTCCTCTGAACTTAGTCAAACGAGGATGGAGGTGAAGGTGCACGCGACTGATGAGCTCGGCTACAAACGAGTGAACTGACCATCCGTGATGTTTTTAGATCACTTCAGTCTGACTAACAAGTAACTCCTAGTAATTTGGTTTGAATGGAATCGAACTACTCATATCAGTAGTATCAATTAGTAGTATACACCACTGTGTATTTATGATGTTTGCTTTCTTTGATAACTACCATTTATGGTATCAAACAGATCATATATTAGTCAACTGGATAATTCTGGTGTCCAAATGAAAGTGGTAAACATTTCACCTTGGATATCATGAGAACTTGGAATTTTCCAAATTTTACTAATTCAATGGAAAGCTTTTTGTGTTTATCGAAGTGTGTGAAGCGTGTTTCAGTTTTTGGTCTCTCACACCGTGGTAGTTGATTTCGTCATAATAAAATAATCGTAATAGAAGTAAGGGGATTAGTGTTGCGTGATAGCAGAGTCTAGAAGACAACTGCATGAGGCCGGTCATACACGGCCTATTTTAAGTTGTTTTTGAAGTTGTTTCCATAAGAGAGATCTCCATCAAGTACTTACTTTACTTTACTTCGGCTATCTCCTACGGGAGGATGAGCCGGCTTCATGAACATGAGTTCATGAAGTTTCATGGGAATTTGGTACGAGTGATGTCCCCAGAATCGCTCGGCCTTTTGTTTGAGAGTGCAGCTCTAGCCTTTACACAACCAAGTGTGACCTACAAGGCAGTAGGAGTGGAGTAGGGAGTCCACTATCCATTGGCAGCCGGTGACCGGAGTTCCGTTCATACGCCTTTTTGAATGGGGCCAGACATCCAACAAGCCCTTTGTCCATACGTCTGCCGGTGAGCTCCAGTGAGCTTCATACGCCAGTCGTTGGAGGTTTGGAATCAGGGTTTAGCCATCTCCCCTAGACTGTCATCCACTGGGCAGTCAACCCGATGAAGAGCGCCGGGCATCCGCTTTCGCCCTCTCACTTTGGTGAAAAACACCTCCGCCACGTGAAGGCAGTGAGTAGGACTTCCTCAGGAGAGGCTATGTAAGACGCCCGGTCATATGGGAGCATTTCAAGAGGTGTGCGGAGGGGTGGCCAACCCACAGCGCAAGGCACCCACCTCCGACCATCCTGAGGCTTTGAAGGCAAGTAAGTTGGGACGTAAAGTTTTCGGGGTCGACCTTTTCTACCTCGACTGTTTGGGATGGAAAGGCAACAAAGCTGATCTTCTGGTTGTCCAAGGGAAACTATTAGTACAACTTCGTTCTCAGATCTCAGGCATAATGTAGCGATCAAAACTTGAACTCTCGAGAGTAATCTTCGTCTCCTACCGTATATGTATAGATGACCAAAACTTCTTTGGGTTATTCACAGTCACAGTAGAACGACAGTGATTTACTATAATATCTATGACACTATTCAACAGTCATAACATATCAGGACGCAAAATTATTTCAACAATGCCGTTGGGCAGCTATACAAATCCAATTCTTTTTCCAGTGGAAAACGGGTACCATACAATAGAATTATTTAACCAAAATCTTAACCGTAAGAAGTATCTAAAAAAATAAGAAGATTATTCCCAACAAGGTGGGATGAAAACTCAGTCAACAAGAATCACTCATCAAACAATTCCTGTAGACAGCCCTAACTCAGAACGACCTTGACCCACACAAACCAAATCACAGTCGTAAAACAACACATCAATATCATCACACAACCACAAAGAGAAGCATTAAAATTCGAGATTAGTACAGATTAGGTCAACATATGACATGTAGACGTTGGAACAATGAGATACATAGTCTAGGAGAAGACGAATAATAATTGCAAAGTCAGTCAGTTGTAAATACATCATTCAGATGACGTCATATCTGGCTATCGACTAAAGGGGAGGGTGTACTGTACGGCAGCACTCCGATCCGTCCTCCTTTATGGCTGTAAGACCTGGCCATTGAGAGTGGAAGACATGAAAAGCCTGGCCAGCTAGCTGTCTTTGATCATAGGTGCCTGCGTGTTATCACCCGTGTGAAGTGGTATAATAGCGTAAGTGATATTGAAGTTAGGCTTCGGTAAAGTGTTAGATAAGGAGGGGAAATCAATCGACAAGGCCGTGAAGCTACATTGACTGAGTGAAGCGGTTAGGGCATGTGTAATGTATGCCTAGCTATCGATCGCCTTCCTCAACGGGCAATGTTAGCTGACATAGGGTCAGGCTGGAAAAGAGTGGTTAAACATAGCTTCATCGGTCAATGAAATCCACAACAGTTAGTTTAAGCCACGTAGGAAGGTGGAGACTTCCTGATTGATGTCCTCGGGGAGAGTAAACACAAATGGCTGGGGACAATCGGTGATATGGCTCAAATTCGTTCTCAATGGCTGGTGCAGATGTATCCACTCCTTGTGACTTTTAATGCGCAATAAAACTATATTGTTCTTCGTTATTACTATTCCTTTGTCGGATATCCCTGTCTACTGTTTCTATTTAGCATTTCCTCTACTTTCTTCTCTTGCGTTGTGTGCTACGTGGAGTGTGGCGACTTGAACTGCTGCACATCAGTGCAAGGTTCTATGTTGAAAACAGACAGACATCATTCCGGAGGTATTTTCCAAACAATTATTCCGACACATAGTTTGAAAGGGACTTACACTATGATTGTAACTGCTTTTAGTCTAACGACCTTTCTGGCATGGCAAGGACCTGCAGAGAAGCATTTGCTCCCCAGACGACTGTGTTGATCACTGGGTCATTACAATATCGATGCTTGATCACCATCATGTCAGGGTCTTGCAACTAACAGTTTTGATCTATTCACTGATTCAACTTGTATTCACTATACAGTCAGTCTGTTGTCGACATAGAACTGCACATACGTGCGGCAGTTCAAGTCTCTAAACTCCATGTAGCACACAAAGCAAGAGAAGAAAGTAGGAGAAATGCATAACATAGACAGCAAACAGAGATGTGAGAGAAAGGAATAGTAATAACGGAGAACAAAACCGTTTCATTGGAAATCATGAGTCACAAGGAGTGGATGCATCTGCGCCACTGAGAACGATTTTGAGCCATGTTACCAATTGTTTCCAACCATTGGTTTTTACCGACCCGAGGACCCCAACCATGAAGTCTACACCTTCTTACGTGGCTTAGACTAACTGTTGTGGATTTCATTGACTGGTGCCATGTTTTTGTTTGACCGCCGCTAGCTCTTTTCCAGCCTGACCCTATATCAGCTAACATTGCCCTTCGGTCGAGGAAGGCGATGACTAGGCATACGTAATACATGTCGTAACCATCTCAGTCGAAGTAATTTCACAGTTTCGTCGATTGATTTCCCCGCCTTACCTAGCACTCGACGCTTAACCTCAATATTGCTCACCTTATTATACCATTTCACACTGGAGATAGATTATTATATTATTATTATTATTTCCTTTAATTCCTAGAGGAACATAGGGCTTCAGCCGCGCGTCTCCATTGCCTTCGGTTCTCTGCTGTAGTTTTCACCTGGCTCCAAGTCTGCCCACACGCTTTCAATTCCTCTTCACATGATCTCCTCCAGGTCACCCTTGCACTGACGACCAACTCGCCGCTTCCCTTTCGGGTTCCACTCGAGCAATGGCTTGTCTAGTGATGTCACTTGCTGGTTTCCTCAGAGTGTGTCCAATCCATCTCCATTTCTTCCTGCCTATTTGTTTCACGATCGGTTCCTGGTTGGTTCGCTCCCAGAGATCTTTGTTGCTGATCCTCTCCGGCCATTTGATCTTGAGTATTGAGCGAAGGCATTTGTTAATGAAGGTCTGTAGCTTGTTTGAGCTGCTCTTTGTGACACGCCAAGTCTCTGATCCGTATAGTAGTACTGACTTCACATTGGAGTTGAAAATCCGGATCTTATTTTTGACGCTGAATGCTGTTGACCTCCACATAGACTTGAGAGAAATGAAAACTTGCCTTGCTTTTCCGATTCTGGCTTTGATATCCTCGTCAGTTCCTCCTGTAGTTGAGACGATGCTTCCCAAGTAGGTGAATAAGTTGTTTCCTTCCGGTTCCTCCCATTTATGCTGATTGTTGTCTGTTGTTGTTGCTGTTGATGTTGGCCAGGAATCTTCATTACCTCTGTTTTGTCTATGTTCACTTGAAGTCCTATCTTTGCTGCTTCTTCTGCCAATTTGTTGCTTTTCACTTGCATATCTTCCAGTTTGTGGGAAATCAGACATATATCATCGGCGAAATCCAAATCCTCCAAGGCTTTTGTGTCGGTCCATTTTATGCCTGTTCCCTCGTTGGTTGCCGTTGTCTGTCTGGAGATAGAATGCAGGCTCTTATGATCAAATACAGATAGCTGGCCTTTTCATGTCTTCCACTCTCAATGGCCAGGTCTCACTGTACAGAATCTGTACAGTCATCGTTTAAAAACGATTCTAGTCCCCCTTGTGTAGAATAGTAATTAACTGAAATTCTTTATTTCTTTTTCTTTGTCTTTTCAATTTACAATATCATTTCTAGAAAGGAAAACCTATTGGACGAAAACGTCATTCTGTTAACATTGATGATCACAGTGACAATGATGATCATGATCACGATAATGATGGTGATGATGATGATGATAATGACGGTTCATCCTCAAATCATGAAAATGCTGATGAAAAGTTCGACAGTATTCTTGAAAATACAGAAGATTCCAACAATACTGTGAATAGATCAAATCGTCGTAATGAAATAAAAACGCTTCAAACCAATATACGTACACTGTCAACAGTTGTTGTTAAACGCCCTCGTGGGAGACCAAAACGTGTTCATCATAATCGTGGCCGTGGACGGGGACGCGGACGTGGACGTGGACGTCCTTCAACAATTGGATCAATTTCTGAAAAGGCTGATCGTCATCATCATTCCGATGATTGTCATAGCGATGATGATGAGGGGGAGGAGGAGAAAGAGGAGGATGACGATGCCGATGTAACTGATGATAAATCATCAATGGATGATATAACATCGATAAATAAATTATGCGTTACTGTAGATGTTCATTATGATGATGAAGTTGAACAACTCCTCCTCAAACCGTATAATCAACAGAAAAGATGTAAAGAAAATACTGAAAGCGATAATAATAATGATAATCGAGGTAAGTTTTTATTACCTTACAATAATTATTGTTTAAGTATTGGCATTGTAGGGATTTTGTTTGATGGAAAACCTGGGAGTACTTGACATCTGTTTCGTCCACCTAGTTTGGGACTCGTCAACAGTACGCACCCATCTCATCTGGGTTCGAACCCCAGGACCTTCTGGTTACAAGGCAGCTAAGTTCGTAGAACATTCAGTTGCTGGGACCCGATCCAATGGCCAGTCCATGAATTCTAACTTCTGTCAATTCACCTAGTAGGGAGGGCTATATCATCTGCATATTCTAAGTCAGCGAGATTATTCCCTGATGGTAACAAGTCAATCCCTGATTCACTGAAGTCAGTTAGAGTTAAGTCCATTAGTATATCCTTGATGAAATTAAAGATAAATAGGGACAGTAAGCATCCCTGACGGACACCACTAGTTGTCACCTCTTTACCCCCGTAGCCTCTCACCTGTCTGGATGCGTGAGTTCGAGTATAGGGCGCCTTGATCAGTGGAATGTATTTCCTCAGCATTCTCTTCACAGATAAATATTGCCGTAGTACCTCTCAGTCGACTGAATCGAAGGCCGCTTTCAGGTCAAAAAATGTGACTTTTGTTGGATGCCAATGGTAAGTATGCCTATGTTTCAGAATCTGTTGAAGGATGGGTGAAGATATGCGCCATACACCCTCTTCCTGGTCTGAAGTCTGGTTGGTTCTCTTGTGCTTGCTCCTCCCGAGTACCAGTACTTAGTCTACGCATAATTACTGAGCCTAGAACTTTAAATATCATGCATTGGTCAATCTAATTCTCTTGTGATGTTTATCACAGAAGGACTTGATAATCCCAGGGGCTAGAGAACTGTCCACTCTTTTTCATTATCTTCCAGATCCAATAAGTTCTCATGTTTTTTCCATAATTACTTCATATTTCTTTTCCTTGAATTTCTTCATTCCTTCTCTCGAAACTTGTTGTCTTTGGTCATATTTGTCTGCGTTCCGTCTCCTGTAGTATTATAATAGGGTGATCAATGCTGAGGTTAGACGTCAGTCGAGTGTTAGGTTGGTATGTAGGGGAAGTTAGTCAATCGATAAGGTTGTGGAGTCACATCGGTTGAGTGAGGACGGCTGGGAGATGTGTTGTTACGCATTCTTAGTCATCGCCTTCCTCAACCTACGGGGAATGTTAGCTGAAGTAGGATAAGGTCGATGAAATCTGTGACAGTTTGAGCCAGCCATATAGGGAGGGAGGTGTTAACCTCGTAGTTGAAGTCCTCAGAATGCTAAGAGCTGATGACTGGAGACAATTACTGATATGACTGACATGCATTAAGTTTTTGTGGTTTTCCGTGTTCAACAAAGCCGTATTTTTTTCCATGCTACTATTCGTTTACTTTTTCACATTTATACTTATTATCGTTCTCTCGAATCTCTTTCCTTCTATCTTTGTCCTCCTTTGTATGGTACATAAAGTGCGAAGTAATTTGAAGTGTGTTGTACTTCTGCGCCAAGTTCCAGTCAGCTTACAGTTGCCTTGCAGAAACTTTGAAGTTACTTGGTCACTTTAGACAGTAGCTACTTTTGACTCCATATCCATTATTCACTACTACTGTATGTATGTAGTGGTGCTACGTGTAGAATGAAAATTTTACTTATCCTGGATAGTATGACTCTTTCAATGGTGCATAGATTTGTTTTCAACGGAAATTGTTGTTTGACCATACATTGTGGTGGTGTAAACTGCATTTTGTGCTTTCAATACATTTTCTGTGTGTTGAAGTTTCTCTAGCGGTTTAAAAGAGTTAGTGGTGTGGGGTTGCTAGCCCCATGCCCAACCCTCCCTCTTTACCCGGGTTTGGGACCGGCTAGAAAACTAGCGAGCTAGTTCACTAGGGGAGTCGGTTCTTCTATACGAGTCAGAAACATGGCCAGCGTGTCACGAAAAGGATTTCCAACAGGCCATTGCAGACTTTCATTAACAGCTGCCCGCTTCGCTAGCTCCATACTGAAGATCAAATGGTCGATGGAAAGAATAAGTAATAAGAAACTATGGGTACAAACCAACAGGCAAGAGCCGATCACTCAACAAATATGTAGGAGAAAGTGGAGATTGATTGATCGGACATACATTGAGGAGGCTGCCGAATGACATTGCGCGCCAGGCCATTTCTCCAATGGAACCCAAATAAGAAGCGACCAGTGGGTCGTCAGTGGGAGGGTGACATGGGGGAGATCGTGTGAGGAAGAGGTGAGAGAGTTTGATCAATCGTGGACCCAGCTGAAGAGGCCGGCAGAAAACAGGACAAAGTGGGGATGTGTTGCTAAAGCCAGCCCTATGTTCCACTCGGAACGCAGGGGAATAGTAGTAATAACAATAAGTTGCACTTTGTCTACTATCAACTGTGTTAAAATATTTGCAAACCTTGCTACATTTTACATAAGAAAATAGATTTCTTCATCGTTCATTATTATCATGCATAGCTTGAAGTATTTCTGGGTGTTCTACTCTTTTTGATCGTCTTAACAATGAATCTTGCTTTCTTTTGGTATTCAGTGAAACATGTATCTATCATTTTAGATACCTGCAGTCCCAAGGTAACGAATACCACTGACAGAGGCCGACGTCCTAGTGGTCGTGGTCGTCCACGAAAGTTCCCCAAATCTATCCCTAGTCCTTCACCAGACCTGTCTGATCCAATTCCTTCGATAATCAATAACAATGACCAGTTGGATCAAGCTACTGCAGAACGTTTTATGTCAGAGTTATGCATGAGTAGTTCAGCACGTCCACTTCTTCGATGTGGACTTGGTCGAAGTGCAGCTCTGACAGAATTGAATCAATCCAATCATGATGATGATGATCGTGATTGTGATAGTGGTAATGTCGTTAATTCACAGAATAATTTGGCTGTCAATTCTGTAAGTGGTGAACGTTCTGGTACAACAACAGGTCATCGAACACGATCAACAACATCGTCGTTAACACCTACTGTTGCTGGAGATCGGAAATTGTACGCCTTAGATCTTGTTGGCTTACAAGAGTTATTAACTCGTGGTGAACTACCTCAGGGTCCAGGACAAGTAGTTCCACAACTCAGGTTAGTTTAAACCTTTTTGTTATTTAGTGAGAATTTCTTTAGTCCTTTATGTTCCCCGTGGAACATAAGTCGGCTTCAAACTGGAGCTTTAAAGTTTCAGAGGCAATGTCATTATTCCATGAATTTGCTAGCCTCACACGCGCATCGGTGGCCGAAGATCAACCCCCCGGAACTTATTAGGCGTGACTGGTGAGCATTCTTCCGTTGAACGACCGACGCCGTTGAATGTTGAAAGATAAATAGCAGGCGGTCAGTTGTTAATTTCATTGACTTTGAAAGTGCCCTTCGACAGAGTTGACCACAAAGTAACTGGAACACTACAGAGTACAGTACCCCAAGTTTTCATTCAACAGCTATATATTACAGTTCCACGTATGAAGTGGTCCACAACGGAAAACCCAGAGGAGTAAGGCAGACACAAGAAGACTCTAGAAGGATCTATCCTCCTCGGATGATTTATGTACAATGTTAGACAAACTCGAAGGTATAAAGGCGGAAACCAACAGATCGCTTTTGATTAACAGACTGTTATTGTTGGGCAGTCACAGTGTTGTTACTACACTCGCATTCGTAAACCACATCGACCTCGCCAAAGATAGGCATTCACATCAAAAACATCCACAAGAGAGAGAGAAACCTAAATATCTTCTCAATTATATATTTAAAGTGAAACGTAAAGCGATACATTCAGTTAGTTCATGGAATGTAGAGTGAATAAAAGGATGGTAGACAATTTAAATATTACGTAACAAAATGGATGTAAAAACTTTCGATAACATCGAGAAAAATTATGTTGAATTAATAATTGGCAGGTGAAATAATACAGGAAAATACTCACAATAAAAATAAATTTTGATGTGGTTGTTTTCTCTGAGCTGGATAGTTAATTTGCGAAGCTTTCATTGCCCCCTACTAGGAAAAATCTTCAGCTCATACTTCGATTCGAATTGAAGTGAGCTTTTAGATTCATCCACGAGTTTATTAGTCATTTCTCCTGATGACTTGCCTTGAAAGTGATTGGTTGTTTTTGTGTGTTTTCACACCCTTTAGGCTACCTGTATTGGTATTGGTGCTGATTGTTTCCTTGACTTGAACATTGACTCTTTGTGTGTGAGATTTCCTCCCTACCGATTGGTAAATTGTGTCTATATCAGTGTGTCTATTGATTGACAATTCACGGGAATAAAAAGCGGGCTTATAAAAATTCTCTAGCATTCTTGGTATTTCCTCTGTCTAATATTTGAACGTTGTCCCAGTCGAATCGATGTCCGTGATTGTCTGTATGCAGCGATATGACCAAGGGAATGGATGTCATGTCTTTTGATGGCTGGTTTGTGTTTATGGATATGTAGACGAAGGGAACGTCCACTTTGGCCAATGTAGTGTTTTTTGCAGTTGTTGCAACTTATTTTGTAGATGATGTTTGGTTTTATCTTCTTTCATTGTTGAGTCTTTTGGTTGACATAGAGCCAGCTGAGTGAAGTGATTTTGTTGGTTTGTGTACGACGTCAATTCCTTCATATTCCTTCATAGTGTTTGGGACTCTTCAGTGGTGAGAGACCACTGCAATTCGAACACAAGATGCACTTGTAGATAATTCGATCCCAAGAAACCATTCAGTCATGAGGATCTAATCCAATGGCTAGTCAATTAAACTTCAATTTATACCAATCTATGGTTTTATTGCGTTTACCCACTATAGGCAATGTTATTGGCAAGTGTTTATCCTCACACCCATTATGATTTGGTAGACACCATTGATTGCATTGAAACGGTAGAAGACGAAGGCTTGGTAAAGGGATGTTTATTTAGAAATTTGTATCTCTACATTGCGTCGGTGGCATAACGGTTAGGACGCTCGCCGACCTGAGAAGTAGTCCGGGGTTCGATCACCGGACACCGACGCACTCCTTTACCTCACTAAGCCAGAAATAATTCTGGCAAAGAGGAAGGGTTGGGCATGAGGCTAGCAACCCCATCCTGTAAAATAAACACTGCTACAGAAACTTCAAGCCACTAGCTTGAAGCCCTATGTTCCACTAGGGAACGTGAAGGAAAAAAATCTCTACATAGCTAAATTATGTATGCCTTATCTTTAACGCACCATTTACACAGATCTTCCGTGTTGTGATACTTCTGGAATTCATATTGTGTTTCCTTGTGTTCCTTTCACATCTCCCATCTATCTCCCTGCTATTGGATGTTTTTTTTTATGCCGATGAACATCTCTTTATATGCTACTGATAAATCTTATCAGTAGCACTCACCACATCATGACTTCTCATACTAGAACTCCAGGGAACTTTTTCGAGTAACCAGTCACTAGAGCACATTAACAGATTAACTTTTAAAAGTATTAATTTGCAGTGTGGTAACAGCTGTCTGCAAGCCAAAATGTGTAGACGACAATTTGCGTCAATGTTCACGTCCCCAATCGGGGTCATGCGGAAAAAACACAATAACAAACCTTAACCTTCAGGGACTCACCGACCAATCACAGTGGAGTTAACGTGTGGAAATATGATTCGCAGATATATGGCTTGATTTTCTGAGAAACGGCCACAAAGAGACAACAGAGTAACCTTCAGCAAGAAAACAACCAGTCAGAAGAGGTTGCTTCCCTGCTAACAATAATGTCCATAAAAATCTATAAATATCTGTTGATTTTCTCAGCAAACAATCTGACTCTTGTCTTTTGTCGTTACAGGAGTATTGTTACCGAAGCATATAACTATAGAACTTGATGAAGATGAGGAATAGGTTATGGTAAAGAATATTATACTTTGTGTTAATATTAATCTCAAACATGTTATTGTCATTGCTTTTTATTGTGCTTTTCTTCAGACTCCTATTATCCCATTGGTTACGTAGTAATCGTCCTGGTAGCCGATTGCATCAATGCGCTTCAGATCTGTTGGAACAAATGAATAAAAAGTTGAAAACGCTAAAATTGAATACATCTAGTGTAAATGGTATACACAATAATAGTAATAATAATAATAATCCGAGTAATAAGAACAATGAAGACAATAATAATAATAATCTGAGTAATAACAATAATGTAGATACTGTCATGGATCAGGAGTCGACTACAAGTCATTATGGAAAGCGTAGACGACAATAAACAACCAGCATTGGTCATGTACCACCACCACCATCACCCTCCACGATGATGATGATGAAAATCTCCAATAGTATTCGTCATATATATATTTATATTTGTGTGTAATGAATGTTTTATATGTATGTGTGATCTTTTTCTTTTGTTTTAAATGAAAATAAGAGTTTGAGAAGTTTATTCCACTCTATTATTATTATTATTATTATTATTATTATTATTATTATTATTATTTCATTACACTTTTTGTACAGTAGTCAGATTATTATGTGAATGTGTACAAATTAACTGTCGTTGTTTTTCTTGTTTACTTTCTCGTTTGTTCGTTAATATCCCCGAACCTCCCCCCCCCCCGTTCCTGTTGTGTGTATGTGATCTTATCACTCAGGCAGTGAAAAGCCAATGAGTAAGTAAGCAGGTTATGTATGTATTATCAGATTGTGGTTGACTGTTTTTACACTGCCGCCGCCCCACCCTCTCCTCTCCTACCTTCATATACATGTACATGACAACTCCATATTCTACCACTACTACCAATACTACTTTCTGTTTTGATTTCTCTGTTCTGTAGTTCGTCATAATCTTGATCTTGTCTCCTTCTATTCTGTCGCCAATCCTCCACCCACCCACTCACCCTCCACTTTCTTCATTTTTCTATTATCTGTCTGTTTATTTGTTTGTTTTATATATAGAAATATAATAAATTATTGTTGTTATTATTATAATTAATTATGTAATTCATTTGTAAGTGAAGTGACCGACCCCGCGTTTCATTTTCTTCATTTTGTGTGCATCGCGTGCTTCCACTGGTAGGAATGTTCACCAGCCAGTTGTAAGCTTCAAGAAGGCTAGTCCTTTATCCCCGGACAAAAAAAGCAACCGCTGACATCTCCATGTTCGGTTGCATTACCGCTCTGAGTCGAAGATCCAGCAAAGGCTTCAATAAATACCCCGCAAACGAACAATGTCAAGCACTTTGTCTCTGTGTTTCGATTTACGAGATCACTTTGTAGGACCGTTTGGACCATGGACAAATGGTATTCTGTCATGGGATCCTTCTGCGCTTTGACCTTGTAGGTTCTCAGCTGAATATTTGCGCTACAACCCCTAGAGTCTTTGGTTGCTACACCTAAACTTCTCACTGGCCACAGTGACCCTCCTACTTGTCTCCACTACTGCACACATGGACCAAGTCAATCTGTAGTAAACGATACGGTGTATAAGTGCAACATTCAGGCTAGTTGATTCGGCAGGTGAGTTGTTGTTGTTATACACTTTATAGCGGTATCTGATATCCATAGCCACTGTCTTGTTGTCTGGACTAATCAACACCTTAATGTAATATTTTGATGGGCTCCGCATTTAGCACCTTAATGGTACGTTTACTTCATCCAATAGTATGAATTTTGCGTCGGTGGCACAGTGGTTAGGACTCTCGCCAACCATGCATATCGTCCGGGATTCGATCCCCTTCCAACGCACACCCGATATCTATGGTCGGCCTGCAAAATTTGGCCTACCGATATCACATGCTGAAAATTCCATACCTGTACCAAAAAATACAGTGTGGAATCAAGCTGTAATCGAAAAAAAATAGCCCACTTGGCTCTGACACTCCATAAAGAGCACCTCAAACAAATTACATACCTTCATTAACAGTTGTCTTCGCTCAGTACTCAAGATCAGATGGCCGGCCAGAAAAGATCAGCAACAGAGATCTCTGGCAACGAGCGTACCAACCAGGAACCGATTGTGAAACAAATAGGCAGGAAGAAATGGAGATGGATTGGCTGGCCATACTCTGAGGAAACCATCAAGTGACATCACACGACAGCCTCTCTCACTCGAGTGGAACCCGAACGAAAAGTGGCGAGTTGGTCGTCAGTGCAAGGGTGACTTGGAGGAGGTGATGTGAAAAGGAGATGAAAACGTGTGGGCAGACTTGGAGCCAGGTGAAGACTCTAGCAGAGAACCGAACGCAATGGAGACACACGGCTGAAGTCCTGTGTTCCTCTATGAATTATAGGAAACAATAACAATAATGGCCCTGACACTCAATGCGTAACTCCGTTTAGGTGAGTTAGCTTCTCATCCATTTACAGTTTTAAGAAAAGGGCTGAGGACGTTTTCTCCGCAGTACAACCTCTAATCATTCACTTTACCGGGATAAAACTGTTTACTTCTCAGAATGCCAACTATCCTGAGGATATCTTATAATGATAATAATAATTGAGATTGCGTATCCCGCTAAAGAAATGAGGCAGGAAAATGATTCGTTAGTTACTGATAATAATGTACCGTCCAAGTTGAAAAGGGGTTCATCAACAAATAAAAGCAAACAATTAAATTTTCAAAATTCAGTTTCTCAGAGACTCGATTTGTTTCAGGTTTCTACAAATTAACTGCTGAAAATAAATCTGATGCTCGTTAGTGAATAGTGGCTGCTACACGACGGAGGCGTCTGGAGTACCTGTAAGAGTAGACTGTGAGAACAAATGCTCACCGATGACGCTGACTAGTGGTCGCATGCGTTGTAAGTCACAAATAAGGCGAAGTTGGAATTCATGACCTATCTGGTCATTGGGTTAGATCCCAGTGGTTCAATAGTGTACCAGGTTGCTTTATAACCGGAAGGTCCTTGGATGAAACTCCAATGATTACCTCTTAACTGCTGAAGGAAGAGTTAATCTGAGGCGCTAGAATGTACCAGCTGTACAATGACCCCCCCCCCCGTTGGTTTCCAGTAATTCTCTAACTGATATCAAACTGGAAACAAACAATTATTAATAACCATGGATATAACATGAAGATAGAGGCTCAAACCAATGAGGCTCTTGTGGTGGTAGAAATAGCTTTTTCCATGTAATCGATACATATAGATGCAACGAATAATGTCGTTGTATAGTTGAAATCTACATTTTGCAAATTGGTAATGTTGTAAGAGAAAAAGAAAACATGGAAGCTTATCTTCTCTACTACTCTAAGATGTTATGGAATGAGATGGTGCTTGGCAACCACAACTCATGTGGTCCAGAGTTCAGTCTGTCACCGACGCACTTTTCTACCACGCTAAGCCAGTAATAAGACTGGTAAAGAGGGAAGGTTGGGCATGAGACTAGCAAACCCCATCCCGTAAGGATAAATAAACACCACTGCTACAGAAACTTTAAGCCTCTGGCTTGAAGTACACTATGAATGGTGTACGAATAAGCCAGAATTTTTCAAAATCTCTTTAGTCGTTACCGCAGACTATTAAATGATAAGGTTCGATGAAATACAAGAAGCATTAATCCCTATCACCGGGAAAAATTTGAAAAGAGTCACACCTTACAACTACTACAAGTGGCGGCACAAAGTGTGCGGTGGTAGAATCCACGCGTCAGATGGTTCGGTCCCTGGCCACCGACACACTCTTAAACCTCTCCTACTTAGCTGGTAGTGTGCCTGTTAAACAGGAAAGGTTGGGCGTGAAGCCAGCAACCCCACACCGCGCAAAATATTGTCCGAGGAGTAGGAAATGAAAAGCTGATCAACAATCGTAGAGCCAGGTAGAAATCGATTTCAGAGTTGTACTCGGAAAGTAATGTTTGTCGGTGGCAACGCACTCCTTTCCCTCACCGAGCCAGTAATAAGACTAGTAAAAGGAGGGAAGGTTGGGCATGAGGGTAGCAACACCATCCCGTAAAAATTAAACACCACTGCTACCGAAGCGACAAGCCTCTAGCTTGAAGCCCCACATTCCACTAGGAACGTTAAGGAATAAAAAACACTGGGAAACTAAGAGAGTAACATTGATAAGATCTAAACATTAGTAAGTATGAAGCTAGATAGCTGTATTCTCTTGTGGTTATTCTCTTGTAGGTGAATTATTAGGATGTATATGTAGACATAACTACAACGAACCAACATCAGAGTGGTCATTAAAAACCGGAGAGTACTGGATAGTTATTTCATCTTATTTTGAGACTTCTTCATTGGTGCTCACACACGACCCCGCTAGGAATCAGACTTAGAACCAATCAGGTTACAAGACCAAGTTTGCTGACCATTCAGCCACATCTGGACTGGAATTCAGTGACAACTTATTTCTAACTTTGTTTTTACTTCTTGATATAGTTCTTCACTCAACCCTAATCCCAACCTCCCACTATTAGCTCCAAGAAATCCAACCAGTAAACATCAGTGATCCAGCTGAAGATTGTTGATACTGCAGAATAGAGGATTTTAGATTAATTTTTGTCACGTGAATCAACCATGTGTCAAGCTGAAACGATTGTTCAACGATAGCGTCGGTTGACGATAGCTCCATGCCACGTACGAGTTGATAAAGCTAGAGTTTAGGGGTCATTGAATCTTAACTCAAGTGGCTAAATAGAGTCACAGGAGGAGGAGGAGGGTTGGTCTCATAACCTGAAGCTCCTGGGTTCGATTCTTGATTGGGTGATTAGATGTTCTCGGTTGATGACTCCCCGGATAGGACGAAACGGTTGTCCAGTACTAGTTTTCATTAATCTCTCTCTAATTGATGTTGGTTTTTCGTAATGAAAATCTAATTGTTTGGTTTTCTTTTGTCTTCTCCAAAGAATAGAGATGTGTGAGTGGTTTTCATGGTGTTCTGTACTCTTTGTTGTCTCAATCTCTCTCTCTCCTGTGGTGCGTTTCATTGTAATCAGCATATCCATGTGATGATGTTAAGCCTATGAATAGGGATTGAATTATTTCAATTAAGGGTTGGCTTATTAGTGAAACGTGTTCCCCTATTGTTATTGTATGATAGTCATATCGACAGAGGTGTATTCAATTTTCATCACATGTTACAATTGCTTCTTTTGTTCTCTACTACTACTTTTATCAGTCAGTAATATGATACGATACAAATAATTAACTTGAAAGGAATGATGAATAAATAACATCGTAGCGTATTGTTCTATATTTTAGCATAGAAAATAGCTCTGAATATATATATATATATATATATATATATATATACATATAATTGTGTGCTA